TATCTACATCACTTAATCCCCCCAGTCCCCTCCCCTCCAGTCGATTCCTCTTCCTTAATAAACCTATAAACGATTCGCAAGCATTATATTTCCTCAAATCAAATGTTAAACGAGTTAGAAAAGATTCAATTCAATTCAATTCGAATCCACTCGCTGTGATTCTATGAACACGAAGAGTGAATATGCAGAGAGAGAAAAACTGAGTGGTTTTGCCAGCTTAAAAGTTGTATTTTCTAGTACAATTAAGTTTCAAGTTAATGATTTTAGTAAACACTTTAAAAGAACCTTTATTTAGCAGATCGATCTGTTATAGTCTCTGAGATCTAGGTTGAAAAAACTGACACATGAACATGGCTAAATCGACTCGTCTGATGATGCTGATTAAGTAGAATCGGATCAGAAATAGATACCCAGCGGAAATATCACAAAATAATATATATTCAACATATTTTACCATAAGAAACGCTAATAAAGTTAACTTAATTAAAATACTTATACTTATTTAACACCAATTTGTTTGCTGTGTGAAAGACATTTTGCATTTTGAATATTTAACAACAAAAAAATACATAAATGGGGAGTGCTCTACACACTGGCACACTCTCTCGTATACACATATATTATTTTGTATTTGTTTTCTTGTGCCCTCTGTTATTTATATTTAATTGCTCTTACGTTTTGCCTTTTGGCTGCTTTTCTTTTAGTTTTTTTATGTAGTTTGTTCGTTTGTTGTTTCGCCTTTTTTTGTGGCAGAAAGGGAGGGAGAGATAGAGAGAGAGAGAGAGTAAAGGGGCCACAGCTGACACCGCCTGGTGAAAGTGTGTGTTCCCCTGGCCCTCTGCCACTTCCCCTGTCAAACGCAGACATGTTTATGCTGTTTCATAATCCAAAATTTACATATGAACCGACGAGGCCTTTGCAAGCTCCACGTTCGAGAGCTCCACGACCAAAGTTGGCCCAGTTTGGTGCGCTGCAACTAACTGCAATGCCACGAGAAGAGCCATGGCGGAGCAGGGGAGCAGTGACTGGTGGCATTCGGTCCACAGTTCACTTGGCCACTGATGCATCTATGCCGAGTCCGAGTAGCCTTTGAGAATGACTCTCCCGATAGATAGAAGCCAGCAAACATACAGTCAGGGATACGGAAATAGCTCGAAAAACAGGGAATTTATCTCAAAGAAGTAATTATTAATACTTTAATTAAATCAAATTGTTTTGTAATATTTACATCAGGAAAACAATAGACTGTGAGAGTAATAATCATGTGTTATTGCAATCTCGAGAGACCGTCGTTGAATCATTTTTGTCGCCTTTTTTATGACTTTGTAATGTTTCTAAGATATAACTATTTTTGTTTAAAGTTTAAACCTATTTACTCTGAATCATTCATATACATATTTGTACAACCAGGAAATCGCACATCATAACAATGTTGAGCTTAAAGGAAGTTATAAAAATGTTTACAAAAGCTAAATAAGAGTGTGATAAGGAAGGCTAGCAGGGGAACAAACTAAAAACTTAAAGGAAGCAAACAAAAGTTTACTGAAGCAAACCAAGTGATAAAGAAATATATTATACAGAAAGTATATTTTACTTCAAGGTGAAGTACAACTTACAACTCTTGTTGTCTAAAGAATTTAACTAAAAATGAAACTAAACCAAGTTATGACACACTGACATTCGTTACATCTGCTTAGGGTTAATGGGATCTTTGGTATTATATTCAATTTACACGCTCAAGTTATTAAATAATAATGGAAAAAAATAGGTGCATTAGCTTCATAACTCCTCCTCCCATAACTCCATATTCGAGTGACCAGTACTGTGTGGTGTGTACGCAGTGGGAACGATGACGAAGCCATGGCCCCATCCGAGAAAGTGGCTCACAAAGCCATTGCTCCAAAATGGGCAACTGGTGCGACTGCCACCGGAGTGCTCATGCTCATGCTCATGCTCGCTGGCTGCTTTCGCCTTATCTAATCAACAAGTTTCTTTGACTTTTATGAGCCAGCAGCAAGCTTTGAACTCTTGGCCAGAGTCGGAGTCGGAGTCGGAGTCGGAGTCGGAGCCACAGATACCAGGCACCAAAAACGGTTGAGACGGAAGAGAGCAGATGGCGGCAACTGCTGCTTGATTGAGGTGCAACAATTTGTCTGCAATTGGGAGGCACGGCGGTTGCGGCAGCAACGAACCCAAAAATAAATTCAAGTATGCATGGCAAAAGCCGTTGAACAGGTTTTCTTTCCGCTCTCTTCGCAGTTCTTTCCAGTTCCCAGTTCCCGGTGGTTACCATTCTGATCCCCATACCCATTCCCATTCCCATTCTCATCATGGCATGGCATACTCTACTACTACCCTGCCCCTCGCTCTCTGGTTTCCCTTCGTTCCTTGATGCCGCTTCCTCCATTAAGCAATATCCAAGTGACCGGCCGGTCTGCAGCGGATTCCATATCCATTCCACACTCAGACGAGAGAGGGTCGGAGGAGGACTGCAACATGCACAGCAATTTCGTCTTGGACTGGGTTTCATTGGTATTCCCTGCACTCGCTCCCTTGTCGCAGTCGCAGTCACAAGTCGCAGTTTCAGTCGCATTTCAGCCAGGAAGTTCGTTGTCGCCTGCTGGTGCTGTCTCCCTTTGGCTGCCACGCCCCTTCCTACGACCATGTCCCCTTTATGCTGCAGTACCCCAGCACACACACCCCTTTGGCTGCACTGGGAGAAAAATGTGTGTGGTTACAGTTGGATGGAAAGCAAGTTTTAGGAGGCGTAAGGAGTAAGGGTGCTTGCTGGTAACCCATGAATTATGAGTGCAAGGATCGTGAATCTATCGCCTAAGTCATACTAAACTATGTGGTTCATTAGCAACTAAGTTTAAATAACCTTTAGTAAGGAGTTTTATACAGTTTAATAATGGTAATGGTAGGAGAATATTACTCGGGTGAAGTCTGGCAAAAATTGATCAAGGATGTTCTTTGGAATGAATATTAAAGTCTATCTTGAGTTTCCTTTCGAAACATATAATTTCTATTTAAATCTATGTACCTACAAAAGCCTGAAGTCTCTCCTGAAAGCCAGTGACATGTTTATAGTTCCATAGACTTGATTTGTTTCTCCCTGTGCACCCGTTTTGTGTCCCCGGCATTTATGCGGCTTTTCATTTACATGCCAACATTTGTTTCCCTTGGCAGTTGGCAACGAGGCTTGAGGATTGAGGACCGAAGACCGAGCACTGGTGAGGTGGAGTGGGCAATGAGTCATCCAAAGAAGGAGAAGAGTTGGGAGGCACACACTACAATGCAACCTGGCCATAGTTAGATACGATTATAACTCAACTCGGAGGAGCCCGCATGCTGTCCAATTGAGAGTCCAATCCAATCACAATCTGGGGCACTCACGGGTCGTGGGAGAATGGGTTTTTGGACCTGAGCCAGGCGGAAGTTTAAGAGAGCAATCATGGGTAATGTAATGTTAATGTGTGTGTGTGTGTGTGTGTGTGCGCCTTGATCCGGAAATGCGTAAATCAAATCAAAACGCAGTAGCTGCGGAGGAGGAGTTATGACCCCAATTCGGTAGATGTAATGCGCGCAAATCAAAGCCAATTTGCCAAATTACTTCCAAGAGGGGGGCATAACGACCACGGCAAGGACACCCACAACTCATCTTACGCCAGGTGGGCGCCAGTCAAAGTGCCACCAGTGGGTGGCTCAACACGAATAGAAAGCGTCGCCAACGAGAAAAGACAAAACAATTTCGTTTGGTCCCCAAATGTGGCAGCCGACACGATGTCGCGCAATTGAAAGTTTTTGTCTTCGATTTGCATTTTTCGAAAAAGGAAAGGAAACCCCAAACCAAATTGTGCGAAATTGTTGGAAATTGTTCGAAATTGCTTTCGCTTTCACACAAAATAATAATGGGGAGACGTCGGAGCCAGGGATCGGACGTTGCATCGAGCGGAAATTATCGGTCAATCCACTCCGACGACGGCGGCAACTGATCGAAAATTGGACGCCAAGCGAGTATAAATTGCGATGGGTTCAAACTGCAGATAAGAGACGACGGACCACGCAAAAGGTCCATGGCTCTCGATTCGATTCGATTCGAGGTGACTGTTACTGATATTTTTACATTTTTTCAAATCTATTTATAAACCAAAAGTGGTTCGGGCAATGCCTCACCATTTAGTGATTAGAAATCTTCAAACATAAACTGAAATTCGCAAAGTCCCATCCGGTAAACATCAGGAAGCCACGGCCTCTTGATAAGTTTATCAGCGATTTCTTGTATTATTGCCACTAATGGCTGAGAATGACTAATTAGGGAAAACACTTAAATGTATACAATCGGTTTGATGTTGATCACATGTGTGCTTAAAAAAGAGTATATAAAAGTTCACAAAACGTGACTGGAAACTTTAAGGGAAGAATACATTCAAAGGTAGGGAAAGCTTTTTACGAGACTATAATTTTATTATTGCAAATTCAAGTACATCGCCATATACCATTCTAATACTACTACTTTTCTATTATCCCCAAGATCTCTCCGGATTTTTATATAGAATTTTTCAATGTTAGACATGTATAAGCACAATACAATCTATACAGAATAAATATATGATATTAAACTTTAGAAAATTCTTCAAACTGACTGTTCAAACTCATTGTTTTTTTGGTGCCAGTAATTATTTCGAAAAAGTAATTTAAAGAAATTGTGTAAATATTCCAAAAGATTTTAAGGGCCTGTTGAAAATTAACAAAGATTTAAATCCCAACTTCAAAGGTACATATACACTTTCACTATAGATCCTAGACTATATACCCAAAAGAATCTTGGAATCAAATCCATTATATTTATTTTTTTGTAATAATGCGTTCAGGGAATTAAGATACTCCCATTGAGAAAGGTTCTTTAAGGTTGCCGGGCGACCACCCTCCAGGGCTAAGGCGTAAAATGCATAATTCGCAGAAACAGGGTCTAAAATCTAGGTCTCAATGGTACTTACAGAACGCCCGAACAGCGGGTGCAGACAAAGGAGCCGATGGTCATGTTCACGTAGGTCGGTCCCTTTTGGCCGCAGTCGAAGCACTGACGGTTGCCGCCCGTACCGCTGGCCACCAGTTCCCGCAGGGCCAGCAGGTACTTGTCGTCCTGCTTCTTGCGCACCACAGCCATCTCCGTCTCTGTCTGCTGTTTCTCCTGCTTGTCCTTTGTTCCGCCTGCTCCTTTTGCTCCCTCCCTGACCGCTTCCGGTGCAGTTGGTGGTGCTACTGCGATCAACGGACCTGCTCGCTCCTCCTCCGTGTCCGCTCCCTCCTCCTCTTCGGTGCCGCCGGCTAGCTGCTCGGTGTCCGAGGGCAGCTGCTCCTGGGGATCGGGATGCTGGTGGCTGGAATGACGCTCTGCCGCGTATGGGGCAAAGGGGGCGACGGCGGTGCGGTAGGAGGAGGCGGCGTGGGGCGCGGAGCTGTTGTAAACGTAAACGAACTGAATTTTGCCTGCTTTTTACGGGTACGCACGATCGAGATTCGGATAACGGATAATGCCGAACGTAACTGACGTAACTCTCTTTTTGCCTCCTTCTCTTTACGCAACTTTCCTCGGCTTGACCTTTCCTCTCCTTGCTTCGCACTCAAGCGCGGACTCACACAGGCACAATGATAATTGAATGAAACTATTTCGCTCTCGCTTGCACTGCCTGCATCTGCTATTGTTTACTTTGCACTTTTTTTCGGTTGCGATTGTTGCATTAAATTCAATTTATTTACACTTCCAACTGCAGTTGCCACACAACTCGGGGATTCGGTTTCGGATTCTCAGATTCTCGCCACTTCGCTGCTTCTTGCCTTGTTTGTTATTAACACACCGACACACGCACACACAGACGGAATTATTAGGCACAACACAAACGAAGGAGGGACGAAAGGAAACGAACGAAAACAGAACGGGAAATATTGCAGTTCTTCGAAAATTCCGACGCCGCTCCCTTGCAACAACAATCGGCAGTTTTCCGGTAGTGCAGCGTTGATTTTCGTAAAACAGCGTAACTAGCCTTTGACAGAAGCTATTTTAAGCTACTTTTTCACTTTTCCGCGGCACAACCGCTCATTGGAGCTCAATTTTTCGTTTACTCACGTCCGAACAGCTGGGGATTCTAGTATCGATATTTGGCCAAAACTATCGATGTTGCGATAACTTGTAGAAATATCGATGATGCGATATTTACTGAATAACTTAAATTTTACACGTGTACGGATACATGGGGTGGAATTCTCCCCTTTGGTCTCATGTAGACGGTAGAACTCTGATGTAGGAAGTAAAATCTGCTCGATATATCGAATTTTTGAAACTATCGATTCTCAGGTTCGAACAGCTGGATTGAGTAGCGTGACCAGCTTAGCTTATTTCAACCTAGATCTAGTATATTAAAAAATGGATTATCTTATGAATTTTGCAACCCAACAAATACCGATCGTCATAACCTGGCTTGTCAGTATTTTTTTATAGTCTTAGATTTAAAATCATTAAATCTGGACAATATTTGTATTTTACTTATATTTTCCTATTTAATTCTAATCCTCTACTCTTTGCCGACTATTTCCCTTCTTGACAAACTTTCTTTTGAACGTCGCAGGTGCACTGGAGGCCGTTTCCTCATCCAGGCCTCCTATTGTCTTTTCCTTAAACCGCTTGACGGGAGGCTCAGGTTCACTGGAGGCCGCGGAGACCACGGGAGCAGCAGTATAGTAATCCGTTTTGGGAAGCTGCCAGTCGATGGCCTCCTCTGGGGGCCTAAAACAGAGTAACTTGATGAATTGGACAACTCTAAAATAGATTCCATTCAAAAGACAGCCATACTTCACCACCACGGATTGCCATTGACCAATCTCCTTGGTGGCTGCCTCCTCCTCCGTTTTGAAGGCGTTGCGCTTCTCCTCCTTTTGCTTCTTTTCCTTGGGATTCTCCGGTTTCCGGTAGGCCTTCATCCGTTCCCTATTCACACGCGCCACCTCCTCGTCGGCATTCTCCCGAAAACGGCGCGATTCCTCCGCCTGGGACAGCTCCTGCTGGTCCACCGCCAGCTGATTGATGCGCTCGTACTCCTCGTAGGAGAGGAAGCCCTCCTTGGGCTTCTTCCACACCGATTCGTTGGTCTTCACGTTCCAGTAGTACGTGTGCCCCTCATCCGACTTGCCCTCCACCCACAGCGAAGCCTCTGGCACCGCGGCGGCCTCTGACACTTTGCTGATATTCACACGCCGATTGTCCTCTTCCTCGTCCGAGAGTCCTTCTAGTCGCATGGGATCCACCTGACGCTGCCGCTGAGAGCCAACGCCATTGCGCTCGGAAGCGGAGGAGGCAGCGGCGGCTGTGGCCCTCATCACCGTGTTGATGGAGCGTGCAGTCATGTCGCCATGGGCGTGGACATCCTGGGCATACGACTTCATGGCCGCCTCCTCCATTTTGCGGATCTCAGCGTCCATCTTCTGGCGCTCCCTCTCCGACTTCTCGCTGCTCCGGCTGATGTCTGTGATCCGCTTGGCCACGTTCAGCTTGTGCCGCTTCCCACTCTCGTGGAAGGCGACGCTCTGCAGGATTCTGCATTAGCAGGGATTCTTAAATCAAGTTACAAGTCTGCCTTACCGCCTTGTTGTCGCTCAGCCAGCATTTGCAAAAGTCGCAGAACTTGCGCTCGTTGGATTTCCAGTACTCTGTCCTGTGGAGCGGTTTCATTTCAATTGGGCATGAAGTGGGAGTATGATTTTGAAGACTTACATGTTGATTTACAAGCCTTGGCTTACTTTTTATGAAGAAAAACACTATTTGTTTACAAATTTCACAGGCAATGCACAATCAAAACAATGGCGTTGCCACCAAGTCGTAATAATGACTAAGGGAACAGAGATATAGCTAAATTTTTAGCTATAAAGCGAAATTTTAGTAGTTTTATGATTTACTTTCCTCTAGCTAACTCCCCAATCCAGCTGTGTTCCCGACATATCGCCACAGCCAGATGGGCTAATTCATTGACAAAACGATTAAAGGCAAAACTTTTGAGCTTTGGCGACAGTCTCTCGATTTGCAAGCTCCCCAGCTGGTCCGACCCGTGCCTTGATAGCAAACCTCGTTCCGCAGCCGTGACATGGGCCAGACACGCGTAGCCAACACAACCACGACGCTATCATCATCCGCGTCGATGTCGTCGCCGAAGACAAGTGAGTGCAGGTGTTGAAGCGCAGCGGGGACCGGGGACGGCGAGACATGGTCACCTGTAGCCGCACTTATTTGCACCTCGGGGTCCGAAGTCTCAGCTTTGGCTGCGATTTCACAAGACGCTTTGCGTTACGGTTTCGCCTGCAGTCGCTAACGATGTGCTCTCCCTTTCTCCGTTCCAGATGGCCAGGTGGATGTGGAGGAGCCGCTGCTGGGCGAGAACAGCTGGGAGGAGTTTTCCATTGACGTGCCCTGGGGCACTGTGGAAGGTGAGTCATAGTCATCCTTATCGGTGTGCCATTCCCATGGCAATCTGACGTGATTTGAAACGTGACGCAGCTACTAATCTTTATCTCTCCTATCGGTTTAGGGAAATGGTGGGGTTCCCGAGAACAACAGCCCATCATAGCGCTCCATGGCTGGCAGGACAACTGCGGCAGCTTCGATCGCCTGTGCCCGTTGCTGCCCCGGAACACCTCCATCCTGGCCATTGATCTGCCCGGTCATGGCAAGTCGTCGCACTATCCCCAGGGCATGCAGTACTTTATCTTCTGGGACGGTATCTGCCTGATCCGTCGCATTGTCCGCAAGTACAACTGGAAGAATGTGACCCTGCTGGGACATTCGCTGGGCGGAGCCCTGACCTTCATGTACGCCGCCAGCTTTCCGGATGAGGTGAACAAGCTGATCAACATCGATATAGCCGGACCAACGGTACGAGGTGTGCAGCGAATGGCCGAGGGCACTGGCAAGGCTTTGGACAAGTTCTTGGATTACGAAACGCTGCCCGAGACCAAGCAGCCTTGCTATTCATACGACGAGATGATCAAACTGGTGCTGGATGCCTACGATGGCTCAGTGGATGAGACCTCTGTGCGTGTCCTTATGAAGCGGGGAATGCGGCATAATCCTAGTCGGGATGGCTACTTGTTTGCCCGAGATCTGCGCCTAAAGGTGAGCCTGCTGGGCATGTTCACTGCGGAGCAGACCATGGCGTATGCGCGTCAGATTCGTTGCCGAGTGCTCAACATACGCGGCACTCCCGGCATGAAGTTCGAGACGCCGCAGGTCTATGCGGATGTGATTGCCACCCTGAAGGAGCACGCCTCTAAGGTGGTGTACGTGGAGGTGCCGGGAACCCATCACCTGCACCTGGTTACCCCGGAGCGTGTGGCGCCGCATATCAACCAGTTCCTGCTGGAACCGTGAGCTACTTAAGTTTGGAGGCTACCTAAATAGGACGTAGGATGTAGGCTAGGCTAGAGTGTATGTATATATTATCCTCTTGGGGATATAATGTGATGTGACAGTGATCAAAGGTTTGTTCGATGTTCGTCGATGTTATGGTAGTGAATGCCTTCACGGGCATTAAGTAATCACAAAATAAATATATGACTAAATTGTGCACAAATTTTCACCTACTTCTTATATTTTTTCTCTTTTTGTTTGCCTCAAACTTGTTTTTGGTGTGAAAGCAAGATTATCTTACTTTTTCGGTTTGAACTTTGGACGGCGCGAACTTAAATAAATCGTTTTTTGTGACTTTTATTTCTTCTGTTTGAGCCAAGTCATCATTATAATATAACTTGTAGAAAGCAATTAGTGGTAACAAACAATTTAATTACGTGTGATTTTGGCAAGTCATTATTAGTATGACATTTAGGAAACTTTAGATAATTACTATATAGGGGTTAACATTTTTAAGGGTTTAAAGATTATTTTATATTATGTATATTATTTTAAAATCAAGTTTCCTACAAAATTAAATAAAAACTTTACTTCCCCAAGATAAAGTTTTTCATCATAGTATCAAAAGAGTTCCCAACTTGATATACATACATAGGTATGCATATATGGGTCAAGTGTTTTTTTTTTATTACTCTAAACACCATATAACTTTATCATCCGATGGTGAAAAGTTAATAGCCGTATTTAATTGGGGTGCTTTGGTTAAGTGAATGGGTTTTTTTTATAGCAATGAAGTTATTTTGTAGTATTTTGGTAGGGAGCTTCCCTGTGACTAAGAGAAAACTAGAATGTAGAGATTTTTACACGGATGTTAACCCTCACAAAGATCAAGTAAATTTTATTTTAGTATAAATTAAACCCTATATTATACCATAATTATTTTTAGACCTATAAAAATTCCCAAAAATTGGTAAGAAATATTTTTGTGTGTGCTCCGGAATGACCTTTGATCGGCGGGATGCCCAAATGGTACCACTAATAGACCATAAAATCTATTTTTTTTTTTGTTGAAGCTAGCTATTATCATATCATCAACAACAGCTCGTCGATTTGCAAATATAATAAACAACATGCTTAGATAAACTATCACATCAGATGGGCAGATAAGCAAAAAATTGCTTACAAAATAAACTTCCTGGGCACAAAATTATTCAATCTTTTTCATATTTGGATATTTTACGTGGTCTTATGTTTATTTCCCCAAAATAAAATAAAAAACAACGGAAATACTTTCCCGCTTGATTTTAAATTTTAAATGTAGCTACACTTATCGGTTGTAAATGATTTTTCAGTGTTGGAAAACACTTTATAAACTTTGAAATTTACCGCTCGTGCACGCTGGGCAGCACTGACAGTCAGGAAAAATGTTATATGTTGCCTGGCAACCCATTTGTTTACGTTTGATATTTATTTACTAATTCCCTTTTGGCCAAAATGGATATCATAAAAGAAATAAATGACAAATATCTGGCTCTCGAAGCGGAGATTGATCAGAAATTGGAGAAAGTGTAAGCTAACTTGTAGATTTAGGTGCCTGAGATCTCTTTAAAAATATATCTCCCTTTTAGACAAATTGAGGAACTAAAACTAGAGCGTCAGAATGAAAAGCTGGCAGAGAGCTCGAACCTACATCCACCTGCACCCAAGGTCCTTTCCTATGAAGAAGCTCTCCTGCGAAATTCCAACACCTTAAAGGTGAGTGAGCTTCATTTTCTCATTGAAGATCCCTTGCTAAGATACTGTATCCTCCTACAGGCTCTGGAGATAGCCAAGGCTCGCCTGAGATCCCGTTCTACATATTCTCCCGTGGAAAAACTGCTTCAGCAAGCTCTGGAAAACTACAGAAAGGAACTGGAGAGCCTGCAGGAGATCGGGAAGAAACCGCAGGAGGAGCAAGTGGAGGACGAGGAGGAGGACGACCTTTACGATCTGGTCATGCAGAATGTGATTGAGGCCCAGAAGCAGAACCAGCAGCAGCAGGCCAAGAGCGCAGAGCTCTAGGTTATATTTCCTTGGAAACCCATAAATGATATATAGTCTATATAGAATGGTATTTGCTGTACGCTCTGTGTCTGGTGTCTCAGGTGTCCAGCTGAATAAACACACTCCAAATGTACACGCACATGACCGCGGGCTTGAAACTAGAGAAAGGAGAATGGAGAAGAGAGAGAGAGAGTGTGTGTGGTGTGGGTGTAAGTAGGTATGCTCACCTTCCGTTCCCACTTCAAACAATGATCAAAGATGACGAGATGGAACCATTCCACAATCATCTAAGTGCCCGCCCATCGATCGACATGCTCTCCCCATCGACCTTATCATCCCGAAGGGGAACCCTGACATATCTCTACTATCGTGGCAAACACATTTACCTAATTAGTTGGCCGTATAATTACTGGGATGGACATCCCCAAATCGGACCCATGGGAGACTTGTGCCCGACTGACAGTCAACTTGGTTAATAAATCAATTAATGACACTCTCCTCGGCTGTGCCCGTGCAAACATCAAAGAGAAATTATGACGCTTCTCGGCATGTCTCGCTGTTTGTCCATTGATAAGGAGGCAGGGGATCGAGGGATACAATGCCGAGCGTGGCAGCGGTGGGACGAGTGGTGACTCCAGATCGCTTGGACAAATACTAGAGACGATCGATCGGGTGTGTTGTCACCTGTCTGTCATGCATTCCGGGTGCCACACGCGGATACAGTTGAGCTCAAGATAATAGAAGCGAGAAGTTCATATCAATTATATTGATTGTTTCTACTAAAGTAACCGGAAAGGGACAAATTAAGTTTCTTCCATATATCGCACTTTTCCCTTTGATATTTTCCCCTATTTCTGCCATTAATAAACTCATTCGAAATAATATGCAAACATTTGTATTTCTTGCTTTAATTTCAAATTACTTTAGTTTTGAGAAGAGGGTGTGCGCCACACAATGATCCAATTCGGCAACATAGTCAAATAATTCCTCAATGCATGTCTCAGTAGTGTTGGATTTTCCATTTACGCGATCATTGCACTTCTGGTATTTGTTAAACAACGACTCAATATGTTTTTTTTCTCGGCATTTATCCCTGAGTGTCTCTTGAGGATCAACCAACTCATCTTCGTCATCGGCTTTAACCAGGGGCAGCGAGAACCAGCTTCTAAAGGCCATTTTTGGTAGCTTTTCCAGATTTTGACTGATGTTAATATAACGAATCAAGGTATAACCTTTGACTTTAAAAGCTAAGATAGCAATGATTTGATGTGACAAATACTCCAAGATTGGAGCCTAAACAACCCGGTGACTTGATATCAATTTAAAGCTATTTGGCTATAGGTTTTTCTTGATGAAAAAATGTCTACAAGTTTTATATTTTGAGAGCTAAAAAATATATATGTTTAAACTATTTTAACTTTAAAATCCTGATTAATTTGCAACTATTTAACCAGTCCTATTGTCTTGCCTTCAATTGTGTGTGCTGTGTGCTTGCTTGGATGCGCCTGACCGGGTCGCAGGTAAAGAATGGAGCCAGCAAGTAGGGAAGTCCACCCCGTATGCTTCTCACCTCACCTGGCAGCAGTTTGTTACCTGTACTGATAACGACACAGCCACGAACTGGGAATCTATTGAGACAAATTGCGGGGCGACATTTCCACTTGGCATTTCCATTTCATTTTCCATCAGCTAGAAGAAGGGAGGTTGGTGTTGGCTGGTGGCTACACGTTGACAGCCCGGCCAGGCCAGGCCGCTTTTAATGGCCAATACAAAGGCAGCCACGCACTCATACCTGGGAACGGGGACTCGCGACTCGAGTGTGAGTGTTAGTGTGCTATCTACAGAAATATCACCCACTTTGTTGCTCCACATTTTGTGCGTTCAATATTTCATATATTTATTTGTTCTCTCATACACACACACCACACACACTCTGCTAGGTACGTACTTCTTCTTCTTCGCCACCTGTGCACAGGTGAGATATCGCCTATGCCGGGAGCGATCGTCGTCGACTTCGTTCGTTCGCTTTGGGGAGCTGACGTTTTAAACTTCACCGTCAAATCCAACGATTCAGTTACGTTCCGAAACGCGACAAGTGCATATAGGTAGTGCCATCGATCCGTCGTTACTATGATATATATATAGAGAGCTCCTAACCGATCTGGAGATCGTCCCGGGGGGTGTTGCCTACGTGTAACCCAAAGACACTACTCTTCGGGGCAGCGAATTACTTGGGCCAAGGGAATGCAAACTGTGATCGCAATTACCAAAAGTTTGTTCGTTTGGCTTAAGTTATTTTCATGTCCCAAAAAGCACACACAAACGCCACGTGGTGGTGATCTATGGAGATCGGTTTCGGTTTCGGTTTGGCTTAACCCCCGCCATTCAAGGAGGTGTCCTCTTGATTGGAACTAACTGCCTTATCAAGGAATCTTAGTCGGCATTGGCTACGTCACCATCCAGAATAGCAGGTGAGGATCGAAATCGAAATGGAAACAATCAAAACACCTGAAATGTGTATGGCGGGGTTCAATCTCTTCCTTGGAAACCAATCAATCCATACCAAATTGCACAATTCCCGCTGGGAGGGAGAGAGAGTGATAATGACAATGAGATACTAAAAGTTAAGTGATATGCTCCGCCCCCCTCCAAAAAAAAAAAAACCAACAGACGCCACCTGAGGTGAGCTCCTCTCCCCAATGCCGGTTGATTACCGATCGGCTTCCGTTTGGAACTCGGGCAGGGAGTCGGCTACTCGGCTCCACTTGGTGCGCTGGCATGAAATCGGGGCTCGTAAAGCCATTATCACTATATTGCTTGTCCGATTTGCGACAATTCCCGTCGCCGTCGCCTCAGACCGTCGCAAGACCGTAAAATCTGATTTCTGTAGACGTGTCGTCGCTCGCCACAAACCAATTCGATATGGCTTTGGCAGCGAGATAAAAGAGCTCCCGGAAAGCCCTAGCTAGCTACAGAGAGTGGGATAGAGTGAGCCAAGGAGCCCTTGGAGGCAGCAAGATAAGAAGGGGGTAAGGGCTCCAAGGGGACATACGTGGCAACCACCCAGATCCACCTCCAGCTCCACCTCCACCTCACACACCCAACACTGATAACTGTGCAACGTACACAGAGAACCACTCGCAGTGCTCCAGTTGCTCCACTCGGTTTATCAGTTTGGAGTGACAAGCGGAAATTAAAGTTGAAATCGACACGATTACTTCATTAGTTCTGTTTGGAAAAAGAGTTCCCGCGTCTCCCAGAGGTCAGGTCGGAGTAGTCCCAGTAGCTCTAGTTGACAAGGTCACCCAGGAGCCGATTGATGGATTGGCTTGTTGTCGGATTGTCGGTGGCCATAACTAACCAATTAGCGATTTGCCATTCGTAGCAGGCAAAGCCAGGCACCTGGGCTCCAGCAATGGGATGCGCCGGAGAAAGGTATTTCAGGGTTCCGGTGCCCCAAGGTGAAACGCAATCAGAAATACATGTATATGTTTATGTGAGACGAGCAGCCAAGTGCCAAGTCGAGTTAAGCCTGAAGACTTGGACCCAATTCGATCAGGTGCAAGCGACAGAAAAGCAAAAAACAGCAGCAGCAAAAGAAAGCATAGGCAAACAGAGAGGCCACGTACTTGTTCGGGGGAGTACAGTAGGAGCACCTTATGAAGAATTTTAAATATATACCATAAAGATATTTCGTAGTTTTAATATTCTTAAAAAAATTGGTTTTTAAAGGTGAATAGATAATCGTAACATGAGCTACAATCTACAAATCTAGGAAGGTTTACTTTAAGACCAGAATCAAGAATTTGTTCAATAGCTCCCTATCCTTAAAATGATCCATGGATATCGGTGAGTGAAATAGAGATGCTTAATAAAAACTTTATGTTAGTATTATATTTAGTAATGGTACTGTTCCTGTGGCACCCAATCGTATACCGATGTTCAATTAGTTTCCAAATTAAATCTCTTTACCCAAACATAATAATCTCCAAATGTATAGCCAGGCCCTTTTGACCAGCTCACAGTGCACCACCTCACCTCCAATGACCCGACCTTTCACTGTACTAAGGATGAGTGGAGGAACCCTGAGGAGATGTCATTGGATTGGACGTGGACGTAAGCGAAAGGTGTAGACGCAGACAGAGACGGAGACAGAACTTCAGCGAATATGCCAAGGTACGTCAAAAGAAATGAATTACCCCGAGAACTGGATTTTGGGCGGGGTAGTACAAGCCGAGGCGGCTAGGAAAAGTGCTCCCAGCCAGCCCCAAGTCGCACTTTAGTGCAAATGCAAAAACTTTAGACAGGGAATCAATTGTTGTTGCCTTGTTTTATTTCACCCGAAGACACGCAACAACAATGGAGCAGTATAAAGGAGCAACTGTAGAAAGGGAAGTGAGTGGCAGCCGGAGAGAGAGGTTAAGATTGGAGGAGAACTCACACAGAGAGAAGACAGGGCAAGGACATTTGCTGAAGAATTGTAAAATACCAAGAGGAGAAAGGGGAGTGTCAGAGAAATCTATGGAAGTAATAGGAATGTACTAGGAAATCTCTTTAACTCAAATATCATGATCTTCAGGAAGATTGCTCTAAGATCCTTAAACTTTTGGATTGTATCCCTTCAACGAAAACATTGTAAGATACTTGAAGAGCTTAGAAGAACAAAAAGATATCCTTAAGAACCATAACATTTGTATACCAAATATTTTCCATCTCTTAAGTATTCCAAGCCAAAAAATCTATGAGAACATTCTTTTTACTTTTCTTTTAAATAAGCACCAGAAATTTTCTCACAGTGTCGCTTGTACTAGCAACAAATGGGCGGGCCGTCGTCGGCAGTTGGGGGCGTGACAGCCAGCAACCGTGAAAAGGACTCGAGGATGACAGTTATGGGTTACAAAGGCAAGGATTGAATCAAATAAATAAGCGAGCAAGGTTCTCGTCATGGAGCCCATGGAGCTCCCCCCTAAGGCTCACTGGGTCGGATTTATATGGGATTCGATTGAACGGGTTGGGATGTGGGGGTAACCTTACCACGTCCACGTCCATGTCAAGTTTGCATGCGGCTGCAGGTAATTCCTCATTTCTAGCCCCCTCCGTTCCTCCGTAGCTCCCCCGCTTTACATAATCACAACAAATGAACGAGGAAAGGCGACGGATGGCGAATCTATTAGCATAAAGGCGCATAAAACGCGCCGATTCCGGAGGCAACCTTTGGATACGGCAAATATCGTTGCCTCAGTTGCAGTGGAACCGCGAGACGCGATGAACGTGTGGAAGGCAAAGGTGCTAACGGAGGTGCCCTTTGGGCATGTGCTCATCGTCACTGGACGCGTCAAGCCGCATCCCAATAAGTAGGCAATCGTTTTCGCTTGCGATTCGAGATGTTCGGTAGAGGGAGGAACTTTTGTAGTTTTAGGAAAAACTAAAACAGTAGTGAAGATTCTTATTCAGCTCTTCGATCTATTGAAATTCCGTGTCCCCTTGTTTGTCCAAGCCTCCGATAGATAATATAATTATATAGGTATTTAAAAGACTACCCACGTGAAATTGAAAGAAAAGGAAAGATTCCCAGCTAACTTTTGATATTTACAAACGATTTTCTAAAGACTGGACTTGCTTAATTGAAAAGATAATATAAAGAAACACAACATAACAAAAACGAAATTGATACTTTAAAGTTCTACCTAGATTATTTACAATTCCCTTTATAGAAGTTTGTAAATTTATTAGTTCAAAAATTGCTATGCTTTTTTTATTCTTTGTTGAAAAAATAACATATGTACCTAGAAATAAAAATACTTTTCTAAGCAGACAAAAGTTACTTCCTCTTCAATGAATTCGAATTTTTAACAAAAAAGCGTATGCAGAGGAAGTTACATTGAATAATATTATAATAACCCAAGAAATGTATGTAGGTTTACTACCATTAGGAAATTACTCAAACAAGGGTAGGTTTATTACTTATTTATGCAGCTCTATAAACTATAGAGAATGTGTGGTAAATATTGAAGTCAAATTGGTTTATGTGAAGATAAAGTGCTTACACAGTTTCATAAAAATAAATAACGAAGGAAAGAAAAAATCCACACAGTATCATTCCTTCCTTTGTGTAACTCCTATAGCTTTGAAAATAATTTAAATGGGGAAATAATGAAACTCATAACATACTCTTAATCGTATAGAAAGTTTTGCTAAGATATAGGGTCTTAAAAACCCTTTAGAATGGACCATATTTATCATTATTTTGTATAAAAAAATTAAATGGATAGAAACTTTAGAAATAAATCCTTTGAGACCCAAGCTCATCCTTGACCCTAAGGTCACCAATGATTACTTGGCTTACAACTAACCACATAAACTCAATTTGCAAACAAACTACCATCGAAGAAGTTTTTATACCATTTACCAATTATCACCAAGAATCCATTAAATTATAGGTACTATAGATCAATATTTTGATCTTATTATTATTTTTTGTGAAAATCCCAGTTTTCAAAACATCATAACAAGGCCAAAAATTCATGAATTTTAATTCGGAAAACTGTCCTATGTTAGTTTTTACTAGGTTGATAAATCTGCATACTCAATATAAAATTCATGAATTTTGAAAAATTTTCAAAATTTTTGACAATTTTGAAAACTAAAAAAAAAAATTGGTAAAAAATGTTTATCTGCCGGAGGTAACTAGATCGATTCGGTTGATGATGCTGATCAAGAATATATATGATTTATCGGGTCGGAAAAGGCTCCTTCACATGCTTTTGTCTAAAATTATAATACCCTGTAGGGGTATTTATGAATATAGAAATAAAAAAAAGTTATCATGCCGAGTATCTGTAAAAAAATACAAATCACATTTTACCCAACAACTAATTTCAAATCAATTTAAAAAATTCAAAAACACAGAATATCCCTCGACCTCACCGACAATGTCAATGCCCAGAACGAGAGTGAAACGGTTTTCCTTAAGATCGAGGCCAACTTCCGTGAGGGTCAAATCATACGGAGCATGTTCCAGCCGGGCGAGGGCTGGCAGCAGGAGGAGATTAGCAAGAATTGGAAGTGCGACGGGCCCAAGAATCCCCTCCAGCCGGGCCAGACCTTCACCTTCCGAGTGGCCGTTCTGCAGCGGTGCTTCGAGATCTATGTGAATGACCAGCTGTATGGCTCCTTTGAGTTCGTCAAGTTCCCCAAGCAAATTAATTTCGTGCGGTTGTACGGGGACTTTGAGAAGATCACCCAGTTCCATCATCGCATGCTCTTTCCGCTTGTCTTTCCGCGCACCCTCATGTGCCCGGACCGGGTCGCCTTCCAGAGTGACGTGCCCCGGAGATACGAGACGGGCACTGTGGTGGCCATGGAGTGCATAGCAAAGGGTCCGCCCACCACGGAGTTCTCCATTTGCTTCCAGTGCAACGACACTGGGCGAACAGTGCTCCGTTTCCATGTGAACTTTGATAGGACCACGGTTTCACGTAGCTATCAGCGGGATGATAACAGGTAAGGAAGCTCTTCAGTATTAAGTGAACTTCTCTCTTAACTGGCTTTTATTTTCTTTTTAGCTTTGCCCCCGATGACGAGGAGACCGAGGGTGAGTTCCCCTTTGTGCGCGGCAAGCTCTTCAAGATTGCCTTTGGACTGGGGGATCGCGCCTTCCTGATCGCTGTGAATGGTCAGTACTTCACCTACTACAACTTCCCGGGACGTCCCTTCTCCATCTCGACGCTGAAGTGCTTCACCAACGATGTGGGCGACTTTGCTGTTAGGAATCTGGAATACCATTCCGACTCGCCGCTCTTGGCACGCGTGGAGAAGCTGTCCATTATCTAAATTAGATCTGGGATTGGTTTTATCTTGTAGCAAATGCTCTTTGTTCAATCGTTGGCTTTGATCAGTACTTTTAGCACCAGTTAACTTCTTCTTGTGAGCAACGAAAATAAAGCAAAGCCTGTCCTTCATTTCTTCATATTTGAATATTTACAAGAGACTCTTCTGACAGGACTTTCGGTGATTACTTTGCATTTCTTAACAAAAATTATCTATAGAATCCTTTGGATATAAATTTATTTAAACAAATTATTGCCTTCGCCTCCCCATATTGCTTCATCTTCATTCATCTCCTCTTTCTTCATCTCCATCTTCATATTCCTCATCTTCATGTCCTTTATCTTCCAACTGCATCTTCAGCTACATAAGCTCTCAAGCTCCCTTTCTGCAGGAGCTCTCACACTTAGGTTAGTCCTTATTTTAAGTTTTAGCATCGGAGCTAATCCGATCGGAATCCTCGGAATCGGGACTAGCATCCTAGACGGAACATCCTTAATGCTAGATTCTCACTACGAAATATGTAATGCGTGTATATATGGTATATGGTGGACCGAATCCGAATCAGGATCCTAGAAGTAGCGGAATTCGCCCTTCTTCCCCAGATGCTTGCTGCGCATCATGTCGGTGGGGTCCGGTGATCGTTGCTCCATACTGGGATTATCCTGAGGAATTTAACAGGAATTAGACAAATAGGAGAGGCGGAGAACTTGAAATACTCACCCCTGGTCGCGATTTGTTGGCCAGGCCAGGACCCGCCTGCTGCTGCTGTTGCTGCTGACCGTAATATTGGGCTCCATCGCCATCGCCATAATTGAAGGGCGTGACAATGGTGTGGGGCACATGGGCTACCTGTCCTCTCATATTGCGCGCCTTCCACCACTTTCTAGTGTCGTCAAGGATCTGAAGGAGTTATGGGATTAAAAATGATATTTTTTTAACAAAGTTTATAGATGTTTCGTACCTCCAAATATTCGCCTCGCATTACACTCAGCTCCTTGTCATTGTTGGCGGTCCTGGGATAGGTAACCAGCACTATTTTGGAGCCACCTGCTTGGAGGTCCTCCAGCCAGGATTCGAGCATTTGGTCATCGCTGATATTTGCTGCTCCCCTGCCCAGCTCCGAAGAGGGTCCCGGTCCCGCTCCAGCTCCGGCTCCATATCCATTACCACCACGACTGTCCCGCGTATGCAGATTCTGAAGTCCGGCTGTGATGGCGCTCAGGGTGGGCCCTGGGCCAGGGCCATGACCATGCCCATGACCCGCTGCTGCTCCAGCTCCCCTTCCCTCAATCGAGTCAAAGGACAGTTCGCTGCGGGTGTTAAAGTCAGAGGCACTGATGGCTCCAGCCCGATCTCTATCTCGCTCCCGCTCTCTCAGCCCATCGTTGCCATGATGAATGGTGTACTTCTCGATGCCCATGCTCATATTCATCCCATTGCCAGTGTCATAGTCATCGTATCCTCGTCCATTCAGTCCAGAGGACACCGCTTGCACCTCCAGCCGACGCTTGCTGACATGAGCTGGCGGGGAATTTGGTGGCGGTTCCAGCTCATCGTTGATCAGGTAATCCGGGGACCAGCCATCGAGGAAAACGGGATGATAGGAGCCCACATCGTCCTTCCACTGATCGCGGGGGATCACCCAGGCATCACCCAATGAGCGCCAGAGTTCCGTCTCCTTGCTGGTCACACAGTTGATGAGCAGATTGATGGCCTCGCGGGTGAGCAGCGGATTCACGACGCGTGCCGGCAGCTGCGACTCGTAGTAGGTGTCACTGGACGCCTCCACAATGAGGGCCAGCGGCGTGAAGAGGAAGTGCACCAGCTCGGGGGCATTGGGGTCATGAATGTGGGCCTTCAGCTTGGCCAGCAGATTGAACGACAGCTTGAACTTGGCAAAGATGTCCACGAACTCCTTCTCGTGCGGCGGTCGAGTCCGCAGTGTGAGCAAACCCTCACCAGGATCTCTTTTCTTTGACTTCCGATTGCGACGACGTCGTTCCAGCTCCCGGGAAGCGGCAGCCGCATGCTGCAGCCGGGCTATAAACTTCTCAATGTCATCGAAACAATGATTCAGAACGGCCACATCCCGTTCGTACTTCTCGCTGGAGGTGGAGCTGGTCTCGTCTCGCTCTGCTCCTACGCCGACGCCGCCGACAATGATGCCGCCATGCTCCGAGTCTGTCTCCCCGCCAATGTGAGCCACATCGTCGCCTCCTCCGATTCCTGCTCGCACACCATACTGCTCAACACTGCTGCGCTGGTGCATGTGGTGGTGATGCTGGCTCTCCCTCTCCCGATCCCGCTCTCGATCTCGCTCCCTTTCGCGCTCTCTGTCCCGATCCACACGGTGCTCCCTGCTGTGCTGGTGCAGCTCCACACGGCTATGCGAGGACGACGACGAAGTCTTGCTCATCATCATGGCCATGCCGGAGGCTCCACCACCTCCGGATTGCGTGGGCGTGGCTCCTCGCTGCTGCGTAATCATCTTGCCGCTGCGCAGCTGCTTGAGGTCCTCAACCAAATGGACGGCGGACACGCTTTGTGACTGCAGGATAAAGATTAAGAATGAGATCAACTTGAATTTGATTGATTTAAAGACAAAACTCACCTGGAATATGTGCATCTCGGAGCGGGAACCACCGCCGCCGGATACTATAAAGACCAGAATGTTATTATACAGCTCCATGGCATCGTTGGAGGTGAAGGCTGTGGGCTCTTGGACCAACGAGGCGGGAAATCTTTCAATGATGTTCTGGAAAGATAGAAAAATCAATGTTAAATGAAGGCAGTTTAATATTTTAGTAGACTTAATACTCACCCCCGTTTCATAGTCCATGATGAGCACCCACTGATAGTCCAAACAGAGCTGCATCTTCTGTGACCAGATGCCCGTGGTCTTCTCCAGCTGCAGCAGTCGCCGCATTCCGTCTGCCGGGTAGACAATCCCAGACTCTTTGTTCACCGTAAAGGTGGCCAGGTGCTCCAGCAGGTAGGTGGGCTTGTCATGCAAATCACCGTCCAGCCTCTCACGCTCCTCGCCGCCGCCACTGCGATCATCTCCGGAGTAATCTCCTCCGCCGCCGCCACCGCCATGAGCACCGCCTCCTCGTAGGCTTCCACTGCTGTTTCCGGCACTGCCACCGCCATTTGAGTGATGATTGACCATTTTCCTTTTGTTTTTCTTTTTAAGTGACTTTGGATTCAGGAGTCAATTTGCAGACTAGATAGTCTGTTTAAAATGGTTTAAAATTAAATTTTAGCTTGAATTTAAGCTTAGTTTTTGAACTTCACTTCACACAGAGAGTTTTAAGATTTTTGGAATTATTTACACAACGCCGAGAACAAAAACCGAGCCCGAAGGATTACAAAACCAAAGACAGACATGGGAAAGTGAAAATATTAGAATTTTCCTGTTGATCAAATAGTTGTTTGGTGATTTTAAGAATTCGTCACCGAAAACAAGATTTGACCATTGTGTTTTATAAATATGTACATATCTGTGTATACTGTATATACTTTCTATAAAGTAACTTAGCCTTGTATATAAAAATATATACATGTTTTTTATTTTTAGGCATTATCTCTCATAAAATGACTAAAAACAAGTGCTTCAAATATTTATTATCAAAACTTTATTATCAATAAAGATAAAAAAGTTAAAAAGACCTTGCCTTTTTTCCTTTTTAATTCAACTATTTTCATAAAGAATGGCACTGCATAATAAAAGATCTTTTATAAATAATAAAATATTATTTAAATAGCAAACTTAACTAACAAAACTTTAAGATGTGAGACTGAAAGACTGCACCTTGATTTTCCAAAATTTAACTTTAAATGCAGTCTTTCGAGGCTAAATGATTTTTTTTTTCTTTTTGGGGTGTGGCTTACACATCCGTACAAGTCTCTTCTAGCCAAATTAGGTTTTCCCATCATGATTTCATAGTTTCCGTTGACCAAGTTTTTCTGGGAGAGTGCCGGATGCCAAATTGATCTTACCGAATAAATGAAATAAATGTGTTAAGTCACTACTTTGTACTTCTACCGAAAGATTTGGAGACGAGATTGGTATCCCCTTTCGCAGCCTCAAGGCCCCTTCCCCCTTTGGATACTGCGCAGCCAGTATCGCTGACTCAAACCGCATTCCACACTTCCACTAACGCTAACACACAACACACACACACACATACACAGGCACTCCAAAACGGTCCGCACATGGCCGCAATTATTCTCAAACTTTAACATTTCGTTTGTTGGCTCTCGGATCAGCATTGGAATTCAAAAATCGCGCGCCTTACCTACCATACCCCCTCCGCCATTGATTGTCCACATCACATCACTTTGCCTACACAGCAAAAAAAAGAGTTACACACAATTTTAAAGCTTTGAAAATGTGGCTCATATTAATACTAATTTAAATCAAAATAATAGTTCAAGAATAAGTATTACACTTTCTCTAGACTAAAAGATAGGAATTCGAAGACCTTATCAGTCCGAATTCAAGTAATTTCCTAAACAGTATGTATTAAATACCATTTATTTTTGCAGTGCAGCCTATGGAACACACCTGCAAAAAACTCACACACCAAAGCCCAGATTTGCAAGCACTCTCTCTCTCTCTCTCTCTCTTTCTCTCTCATTCCCGCTCAGTAGCACGCGCAAGACACTAGCTCAGCCGCTCCCTCGGCTCGAGTGACAGCAACAACTTTTCCGCTGGCTTTTAGGCTGGGCTCAGGCTCGCATACCGATCCGCGGGAGGGGCGGGGGCCTCAAGGGGAGACTGTGTACTTGGGGCAGGTGAAAGAGAAAATGCCAGGAGGGGGTCAGCACTATCGGTCGAACGATCTTGCTCAAACACAATAAACAAACAAAGCGAAATGCAAATAAAAAGAAAACACTGACTGACCCACTACGACTAACTACACTACACTACTCTACACCCCTGGGGCCTTCTCGGTCGCTTGTTATGTTTTGTTGTTTTTTAGTTTTATCGTGTTGCAGCGCAGTGTTATATTGTCCGAAATTGCATCACGCCAATGGAATTTTGACGGATTGACTTTGTTTTCTTTTCTCGTCTCTCTTTCCTGCAGCAGCCCAGTGGGGAGGGGAAGAGCGATAAACATTATTATCGCACGCAAATAACGGCGAAAGTGTAACGCACTTGCATAAATCATAAAAGCAGATACTACTACGTTCATTCAGTTGAAGATAATTAATTAAGTCCGCTGATAAGCGGCAAAACAATTACAGCGCACAGGAATCCCATATTTCTTGGGGGAATTAATGCCTCAAATAATTCAGGCGGCGGGGACAGCACAGATTTAGATAGGCGGCGCGCTCCTGACGGCTCAGGCTCACTTGTTTTTATCTTGCGCATACTTTTAAGTTTACGAAGCAAATGGGCAAAACAACAAATAATGACGAGCCAGCGCTCTGGAGGGAACGGGGAGGGGAGATGGCGAGACACCAACACCCCGAGCAACACTATTGCCATCCCATTCGCGCGCATGCGTGGCAGGTCGGGTGCTTGCATGTGTATGTTGCTGCCGCTTGAAAAGGTAACTCTACGGATATTTGTCTCCGTGTCGTCTCCTCCATCTCCATCGCCACCATCTCCCTTCTTTTGACCGACCGCATTTTTTAAGCTTTCTTTTCCACCTGTTTTCCTCTCTCTCTCTCTCTCCCTCTCTTATTGCGGCGGCTGTTGATATTTTTACAAGTCTTTTTTCCACACACACACACACACCGCCCCATGGACATGGTCCAAGCCGCACACAGGTAGTGCGCTTTGGTGGTGTGCGTGAGTGGATATACAAACTGGGAGCGGCGGCAGGTTTCGTATTGATTTTCAATGCTTTTGTTCAATTCATTCACTAATTCAACATACACACTCACAGGCACTAGTAGATATTGTATATTATTCTAATTGACCGCATTTATCCGCTGATATTTCGTTTATTTCCTTTACGTAAACCGCACACACACACACACATACATGCATACACACTTGGGGTATCCATATCTCGTTAACATTTCGATATCATCCTCTCACTTCGCACATTCTTCTTCTAATTAGCACGAATCCGCATCTCGCTGTCACGTTCGGTTCGTTTGCCTGGCATTTTTAACTGGTTTCGGTTGTTCGGTTTTCCGATTTTGGTTTTCGGTTTTCAGGGCTTGCGATCACTCGAGCATTGTTTTAATTTTTTAATTCCAAACATTAAAAGTAACTGTAATAAGCCTGCTCTCCGCCTCCTCCTTTTACCTGTCTTCGCTCCTTGTCTGGCTACCGCTTTCGGTCCGGGTATCTTTCTCGTGCTCTCTCCTTCTCCTTTGGCTTCTCTCCTCTTCGATTTTTATTTTTAAGTCGGCTTTCTTTCGCTTCGTTCTTTTTAATTCTCCGCCCAGCCGCTTCTCACAAACTGTTTTCCTTTTTTTTTTTGTAGTTGTCGCTTGTGGAGAATAATGAACAAATAACAATAACCCGCAACGTCGCTTTTCAGTTACTGTTGTTGTACTTGTTGTTGTCGTCAAAACGCACGCGAGCGTCGTCCGCAGTGGCCGCGTTTAGTAGTACATGTCAAGTCGGTACCAGAATCAGTACTAACCGCTTGCTAACTTGGCCCACTCGCTGTGTCTCAGTTAGCCACTAAGCGCTAAGCCACTTGTTGATACGGCTATGACACTGTATTTCCAATTTTATGACACTGCTACGGAACTGTACATCATATTTTCTATATTCAAGTTTTCATTTGAACTGTAAAAACAGCTTTCGGTCACTTGAATTTATTTTTTTAATGTAACTTTTGTTTACATTGTTTTAAAAGTACAATAATTTACTATTTTTTAAAAGTGTCATAAGCATTCAAGAGAGGCCACACAAAGGTGAGAGCGCTCTCTCGCCAGGTGAGCCGGGAAAAGAGAAAGAGAGGAGAGAGCGGTAGCTAACTTGGAGAACAGTTCGCCAGTTCATTGTAGATTTAAATGTTTCGAGAATGTAAAAATTGAAGCATATTTTCGGGCAACATGTAAAATTGACTTGCAGAATATCTATTGTTTTAATTATTTATCATTTAACTAATTGCTTTTGCAGGGATATCACGCAAATTAAGAGCTAGATAATCAGTTTTTGCTAATGAGACAAGATGTCAACCCTAATATAGAAAAGGTTTGCGAAAATGCTAATAAAGATTATTCGATTATTATATATTGTTATTTAGTCTTACAAATATTTAATATTTTTACTAGTCACTCATATTCTTTGTCACTGCGGAGCAGTTCTTGTCCAACATGGATCATTTTAGCAAGGAGAGGCTACAACGTCGCAGCCCAACAATCCAAACAAGTGGAAACTGAAGAAAATTTCATTAAATGAATTAGATGATGAGTCCAATTTTGAGCCCAGGATTATATGCAGATATCGCAAGCGTTCATTGGAACACATACTTGAGCCCAGAGTATGAAAATACATTGTAAACTTTGAATTGTAGATTTGGAAATCACATATAAAACATGTTTAGGCTTTTTTGTTCACAATCCTTTTCTAATTGAAGTAAATCTAAGAGCTAATAATTACAACTAAACAAAAAGAACGCCGTCTCCGGATGATCAACTCCTTGCTTTTCTGTTTGCCTTGAGCAGTTTCGCCTTGAGAGCCTTGACGTCCACCTTGCTGGATGAGGAGCTGTCCTTCTGAGACGAAGAAGCTTTCTCCTCTGTAGGTGGCACAAAGTCCTTGTTGCGACGCTCGTCCTGGCGCTTGGCAGCCTCCGCCTGCTTGGCGCTGCGCTCCTGCTGCCGCTTGGCTTGTTTTTGCTCCTGGTTGAGGAAGTACTCGCCCGAGGCCAGCTGCTTGTCCACCTTGCTTTCCGGCTGTGTGGGCGGGAACGGTGTGTACTCCTTCTTGGTCTTGCGCACCTTTGGCTGCTTGCGCTTGCTAATGTTCTTGTTCTTGAACTTGGGCAGGAACCGTGACCAGTCCTCGTTGGCCAACCGCGGGTCCTTCATCAGTTCGCGCTTGATCATTAGCGCCTTGATATTGTAAATGGGATGGACGTTGTTCATGGTCTCCAGCACAATGTCTCTGACCTGCTGCAAGCCCTTGTACGGACCCAGAGCCGAGACAGTGTTGCCCTGAACCAGCACGTAGCAGTCGGTGAGGAGCTCAATGGACTTGAGCGTGGCTCCGTTGGGACCGATCAGGCGCTGGCGCCGCTTGACGAACTTCTCCTTCTTGTGAACCAGATTGCCGATCTTGATGATGTCGCAGCCGATGTCGTCCTGGAGCACACGCTTTGCCTGCTCGAAGGGCACACTGCGGGCCATCAGCTTGATCATGTCGCGCGCCTTGATTATGATGTAGGGATCCCACGTCTTACGGCTGGTCTTCACCACCATGCTGCCCTCCATCAGGTCCAGTTCGGCCTTCAAGTGGTGCTCTGCCACGCACTGCTCCACCAAGGGCCACACTTCCTTTAGGTAACGTTCTCGGTACTTGGGGAATAGCGTGGCGAACGAGCTCTCCTCCACCATGCCGTGCGGATTGTCCTCTGCCTTGAAGGTGGGTATCTTCATGGCCCAGGCATTGTCCACCGGCTCCGTGCTGATCTTGGTCTCCTCCGTCTCGCTGTCGCTCATGGTTCACCGGTTTTCGACGTATTTATTTATTTATATTTTCACAGGTGAGTTTTTCTAGCACGCTTTTTTGTCTGTGTTGCCAGAGCCGGAAAAAACGTAGTGTGACCAATAACATTTGTTGCAACTTAGTATTGATTTCCACCTTTTCAGCCTTATCGCATACATTCAGATATTTCCCATACACAAAGGCAATCACTGCCATACTAAAAGTATCGCATAAAAAAGTTAGTCAGAAAATCCAGCGCATAACAAATTAAGAGCAAATTGTAAGACCGATTAAACAATTTAAACTGTATTTTCTGGTAGGATTAATATAATTAAATATTAAAAATATATTGTACTCGGCCAAAGTGTCTGCGGAGAAAGTTGCACTAAAGAGAAAGTCCTGCCTGCAACTTGGGGCGTGGACGCGTTCGCAGTTAGCATAAATCGCAATACGCAGACCAATCCCAACGAGACAAAGAAAAACAATTGAAAGTGGCGACATTGTAATAATCTTAATTGCTATAAAAAACAGATTTTTGTTGCATTTCATTTTGGTTGCGTTTTAATAATTACGCAGTGTGAAAGAAATTGTGAAAAATCAATATGGCGTCATCGCACGTCTTTGTGTTCGTGGCACGGTGCTGCCAACCGGCTTGAAAGCCAAACAAAGAAAAGGGAAACTGAGTAGCTTTCACTTTTCGTTTGGGCCCCAATGTCAAAGTTGGTGTAAAGGAAGACAACCCAAAAGCGAGAGACATTCGTGCTTCAGTCTTTCGAACAAACGCACAAATTTTTTGAATTGCCAAAATTGTAATTAAAAACCAAGTTCGATCTGCGGGAGAGTGGACATCGCTGACACGCAGGGCTGCACTGCTGCGATAGGCGCCTATCGACTGTCAATCGATAGTTGGCACGGCCCACACGTCCGCATTTTCTCAGTGAAAAATCTCCACGCGACGAAACACGTTTTCCTGATCTACAAACAAAAAATAATAATCTGCAGAGGGTTTTTGGTTCTCTACCAGTTTTTATAATAAAAACAGATAGCTGAGGCGTTTCTTCATTCTCTTGCGTCTGCAGCTGGAATTTATTGTTGCCTTCTTCGTCTTGAAAGTGAAAATTGTAGGGCTACAGCAAAGATTCTTGCTAAGCTTGTACTCAGACTTGGTGTTTTTCTGCTATTTTAGATATTTCGCCAAAGCTAGCAATTAATTGCGTTTTTTCATGGAATTACGTAATCTGTGGAAGAAGTTCAGTATCCATTAGTTACGCACACACATACACCAAAGAGTCACGCACGTACATACAAACAGGCGTGCATGGTGAAATCTACGCGTGTGGAAGCGAGACGACGATAGGGCATTGGACAAGGCACATAGCGTTGCCACCCTTTGCTTTTTTCGTTCGGAAAAAACCCAAAGGGAAAAAGAATGGTGAGTTTGTAAAAATATTAAAAATTGAAATTCGTTTGTTGACTAACGCGGGTTTATGTTTGTGTTTTTAATTTAGCCGCGAATAGTACCACTGCAGTTGCTGCGGTGCCTTCGGGTGCTGTTGGACGACAATGGCGGTATTTTGAGTGCCCAGGAAGTAAAGCGCATTTCGGGGTGAGTTTACACGAGCGCCCTCTAGTGGATTAAACTAACTAACCAACATTTTCGATTTCCTTTTTGTTTTTAATTTGGTTTCTTCCAAAAGATTGATGGCAAAATATTCAAAGAAACTGGTTTCCAAATGCGTTTACGTACAAATATTGAAATCTACAAAGACGGAGCTACTCGGGGACTTCATGTCCGTGGGCGGCTGGTCGCTGGTCTACACATGGCTAAACGATGCCATTCGGGCGATGAACTGGCCGCTGGTCCAGGAAATCCTCGAGCTGCTGCTCCTCTCGCCGGTGGATGTCAACCGGCTGAAGATCAACTCTGCCCCGATCTTGGTCAAGGGTCTGTGCAAGGATGGCGGCAATGAAGGTAAGTTCTTACGAGTCCTGTTTAATCCTGTTTCAAAGCTCTACCTGCTCAAGCGGTCCCTTTTTTGTTTTCGTTTACCTGTGAAAGGGTCACTAATTACCTCATTTCGTTCGGCCCACTTTCCAGGTGTTCGCATTCTGGCCAAGCGGCTGGTCGAGCAGTGGCTGAAGATTGTGACCGAGAACTCGTGCGGGTCGGCGGTCTTGATAGCTGCTCAGCCCTCAGCCCAGAATGCAGCCAGTACTCCAGCAGGAGCTTCCAGCGGCGACTCCACTGGTGCTGGTGGTATCCCTCCAGTTCACGACTCGGCCTCCTCCAACGACAGCACGGACAGTGCGAGGGCCCCAGTGACGTACACCATCACCTCCGCGCCTAGCCATAGCAACTCCAACAGCATAACCATCAAATGGAAATCGGCTGACAAGCTAAACCATGATCCTGAGGACGATGACGAGGCTGCCGAGGCGGCAATGCACAATGACGGGGAGCCGGAGAGGGATCCCCTGGACACGGCCGAAATGGTCAAAAAGTCTAGTTCCAGTTTAGATGATAGTTGTTCAGCGGCTGCGTCGGAGGTTAAGTCCGGCGAGGATGTTCATGATAATAAGAAGCATAGTAGGAGCTCCAAGAGCGACAAGAGTAAACGGTCCTCCGAGAAGGAGCGCGAGAAGGATCGGAAAGAGAGGTCCTCCTCGAGCCACAGGTCTTCATCGTCTAGCCATAAGTCGTCGTCGTCGTCGTCATCTTCCTCCTCTTCGAAGAGCTCTTCCTCCAAGAGCTCTTCCTCCTCCTCCTCACATCGCAGCTCGAGCGATAAGCACAGCAGAGATAAGGACAAGGACAAGGCTCGCTCTAGCTCCTCCAGCTCCAGTTCGAGCAAGGACAAGGAGCGCAGCGGTTCTTCGTCGTCCTCTTCCTCCTCCTCGAATAAACACAAGTCCTCAAAGTCCTCTTCATCGTCGTCGTCGTCCTCCTCTTCTACATCGAGCTCTGGTTATAGTTCGTCTAAAGATCGCAAGGACAAGTCCTCCTCGTCCTCGTCCTCTTTATCCTCGAAGCAGGAGAGGGACAAGGACAACAAGCTGATGCCGCCGCCGGCGCTAGCTGCTTCCTCGCCTACGACAGTGGCCAAAGAGGGGGAGGCACAGAAGCCCAGATCCATACCCATTCTGTCCAGAAAGGCGTCCATTTCGATAGAGATACGACGGGACACAGAGAAGGCATCCACCGTCAAGACATACCAGTCCAAGTTCCGATCGCACGGCCTGACGGAAGAGGCACCGCCTCCACCCTCCAGGAAAGGCCTTAAGAAGCCCACATCGACGCCTTCGACGTCGCTAGCAGGCACCACTCTTCCCGTTGTTCCGGCCATCAAGCGACCGTCACCACCGCCCAGCCGGGATTCGCCGGCGGAAAAGAAGCCCAAGATCGATATGAGCACAGTGGCGGGCCATGTGGAGCGGCCGGGAGCAGCCAAGCTGATCGCGCCCAAAAAGAGTAAGCATCTGACCATGAGAAACCCTATTAACGATCTCTTTTCTCATTCTTATTTCAGGATCTTTGGTGGTTTTTGCTTTTGTATGGAATCGGAGTTAGTCTCTCGTATATATTCTATATTATTTCGTTGTGTGATCCCTTTATATCTGTCGTAAGCAAGAGGCAAATCTTATGCCGCTGCGGGGTGGTTTAATTTGTTTTTTGGGCTTTGGGTTTAAGAACTCTGGGGTTAAATCAAATTGATTGCGATTGTTCCTACTCAAACGAAGATGTGAGAAGTGAGAAGTGCGCCCCCGGATGATTATAATGATGTTGATGATGATGGCAACGATGGTGTCCCCGGAACCTGGTCACTGCGCATGCGCTGAGTCAGCCAAAGAGTGTGAGGCGTCCGCCGCTCGGTGTTAAGTATTCAACCTAATCTTTGCTTAGCTTTAGCTTTATAAGGTATGTAGATTGATGATGAATTTGGCCCAGAAAGCTAACCAACTTCTTGCAAATAAATACGAAAAAATATACTCTAGAAAAATACGATTTTTCTATTGAAAATAAAAGGAAAGCATATTGAGCGAACTGAAAAACCAAAAAAAGAAAACGATAATATTGACTTGGAACTGGCGGTTCTCCACAGACGTTTTTGGTAGTGGGTCATGCAATCCCCCCCGCATCCCAGCGCTGTTTCGATCACAACCCAATGTTGGTCTTGGTGCCTGTTACAGTGGGGCGTCGCTTTGTTAGATAAGGAATAACCCCACCGTCCATGACGCTCCTCCCCCGAAACTCACGGATAAATGCATCAGCAGCGGGTGGGATAATGATGCGTCATACCTTTCGCACAGAGCTGCTCACATGTATATGTATTACCTAAGATCGTCGTTATATGTATATTTTGTATTTATTTTTTGAGAGTTTTGTCAAAAGAACTTTTATATTTAATTTTCTCTTTTATAATTTGTTTTCATTTTAAAGAATTTACTTTAAAATAAATTGTGGAATTTGCAAAGTATCCAAAAAGTTAGAGACCTTGACCATGACTTGTTTAAGCTATTAAAAATTTTAAACTAACAAAAAAAGATCAAAATAAATTGTAAGAATTACAGTACATTAAAAAAGCAATACTTAAATTATAAAAAGCATATAAAAATTAATAACAAGTGCAAAACATTAAAAAAGTACAGATTTCTTTGACTTGACACCAAAAAAACGTTTAAAAGACTCAACATTTACGAAAAGCCTTTCTTTTGTTAAATTTATTAATCAATTTTTATAATTTTTTCAATTTCTACACTAAATTTCACTTCAAATTTAATTTTAAAGCCATTATGCCATTTTACATTATGCTCTCAAATACCCCAGAATTAATATCTAATATTTATTTAATGTTTCAGTAAATCTCAAGGTCTTAAGCTAGGCATTTATAACATTAGTTAGTGACCCCAAGTAAGGGAGAGATCTTTAGTGTGTTTTAACTAAGTGTTGTATTAGTAATTTTCCCTCTAGGTTTACCTTCCTAATTTCTCTTTCAGCAAAAGCAAAAACCACCAAAGGATCTTGAAAAAACCACAAACCTACCTAATTAATAACATTTTAATTAAATTAATTACTAATCTTTTGACCTTCCTCTGTTACAGTTTCAACCCTGGTGGAGACTAATCTATTCTCGGACGCCTTGGCAGCCTCAATTGAGCCCAAGAAGACGGTGAAACGAAAGCGTGTCTTGTCAGCCACATCGCCCACGGAAAAGGATGCGCCGCTGGCACCGCTCAAGTTCTACCAGGACACGCTGGACGAGTCGAAGAGCGACGATAAGTCGGACGATAGCACCAAGGAGAATGACGAGGGCAAGGACACCGATGTCGATGGTGATGGCGACGTCGATGGCGATGATGATGACATTCCCCTGAAGCGCGTCAAGGAGCACATCGAACAGAAGGTGAAGGAGAAGGAGGCGGCATCGGCAGCGGGTGAGGCAGGAAATACCTCCGATGATGCCGATGATACGCCGGCAGAGCCAAAGAAACCAGGACCCGGTTGCGGACCCGACGGACCACCCGGCGTCCTTGTCGTGCACCGCCGCAAGGGGCCCAAGAAGAAGCTCACCTGGAAGCCGGAGGATAAGCTCACACAGATCCGCTACTTCGAGGTCGATCACTCGGAGCGCGTGAACGTGACCAAGCAGAGCTTCAACGAGATGAAGAATATGGAGCGATTCAGCGAGCGGGATGCATTGACCATTGCCCGACGTGGATTCGATGACACCATGGAGCCACAGATGGAGTGGCGACCCCTCATCGAGGTGGACAACGTGCCCGATCATCCCAATGGAAATCTCTCCAAGCAGCGGCAAGTGCAGGCCGATCGGGAGGCCACCACTCTCCGAGCCCTGTACTTCTCGCCGGACATGATACCGGACAGTGCGGCAGAGGCGGAACTGGAGCCGCACTTTGCCCATGACATTCCTGTGATACCCATCGATGATCTGACCGGTAATCCCGATGCGGTCAACGATTACAGCGCCCTGCCTTGGCCCGAACCCAAGGGTTATGGCATGCCTGCACCAGGAATCGTAAATGGAGCGAATGTATCTAACAACGGACCGCCGGATATGGGCTTCGTTGGGGAGAACAGCATGAACACCATGATGCCACCACCAAATATGATGCCACCCAATCCCTTCGATCCCTTCATCTGCATGCGAGGTGGCGGCGGTCCTCCTGGCATGCCAGTGCCCAATGGTCCGCCACAGATCTGGCAGAACCCGATGGCGGGACCACCGCCCAATGGACCACCCATGATGAATGGACCTGGTCCAGTGCCCGGCATGGATATGAATAATATGAATATGAACAATATGCCGATGCCGCCGCCCCAGAACTTTATGGGCAATCAATTTGGCAGTCCAGTGCCACCCTTCGGTGGTGGTCCTCCGCCGGGCTTTAATCAATTCCCGCCCATGATGATGAATGGGCCTGGACCGGGTCCGGGAATGGGACCAGGTCCGGGAATGGGACCGGGTCCGGGAATGGGACCGGGACCAGGAATGGGACCAGGACCCATGATGAATGGCCCTCCCAATGGAATGGGACCCATGCAAAACAGGAATAACATGAACAACAACAACAATCGGAACAACAAGAACAATGGAGGAGGAGGTGGAGGTGGAAATTGGCGCAGCGGCGGCAATAACTTCCAGGATAACTCCGGCGGCAACTGGCGGTCAGCGGGTTCTGGCGGCTCCAATAATCGAGGCAACGGCGGAGGCGGAGGCGGTGGCGGCGGCAACGGCGTCTGCAAGGCCTTCATGCGTGGACACTGCAACATGGGCAAGAACTGCAAGTATGTGCATCCACAGAAGAAGCGCATGTAGGACTCGTCGCCCGAATCTTCTGCGGAAGATTCAGCTGCATAAGAGCAGGAGAGATCTCAGGCAAGCTGGAGGAGCCCCAGATTGTGCCACCACCAAGACTGTAGCCAGGTTAGCCGTCGTTAGTTAGTTTTTATATATATTATATATATAGGGTTTGTATATAACATGTATATGTATCTGGTATATATGTGAGTGCAGAGAGAGAGAGAGAGCAAAGCCGGAGCTATTAATTTACAAGTTGTTAAGTTGTTTAGTCTAAGGTTTATACATTTAGTTAACCCCGGACAAGAAGACGAAGATCGATGTGTACTTAGAAGAGAAGTCTCTTTTATTTTTGCTATTATTAACAGTAGTCATATGGTTTAGCTATGTAGACATATATTAGCCCTAAGATCATAAATATTCACAATTAAAGACCAAGTCATATGATGAATTTTTCAAAAACCAAATAGAAACGGAAGTATATTATTTTTAACAAAAAAAATCTGCAACAAAAAAAGGGAGGGAATTCATTGACATTGACATACATTTTATGTATTTTAATTTTTATATTTTTCTAATCTTTGTTAATATATTCTTTTTCTTTAATTCCTATTTTGTCTGAGATTTGTTTATAATATTCATTTTAAACAAGAAAGGGAGATCAAATTGGAGAAGCCGCAGGGGCTTACACACTATTCCCGTAGAATCATGGGTTTGAATGTGAAATTTGTCATAACTAACTTACAAAACTTAAAAAAAAAGTCAGTTAATTATTTTGTCGAATTTGTTTCCAATGTTTCATTCTTTAAAAAATTAAATTTTGATGGTTAATAGAAATATATATGACAATATGGGAATCAATCATATATCTATAAGAAAACCTAAAATTTGTGTATTTTAGGTTATTATTAAATCAACATTTGTACATTAAAAATTGTTGATAAAAGATTTTTAAATATCATAACTAATCCAAAAATGTTGTAATTTCATTTCGGACAGATGTTCTATGCTAGTTTTTATTGGATTAACAAATCTGCATTTTTAAAATTTAAACAACTTGAATTTTTGTCAAATATTGAACATTTTAACAATGAAAATTTTTAACCATAAAATTAAAAATGAAACAACATTATTTTGATATTGTCTGACATGTGTAGATCGACTTGCCAATTTATTCTGATCAAGAATATATATATTTCAAGTTTCAGACTGAAATATAAGGGTATAAATATTCGCATTCTTTTGACCAATATTTGTATGACAATTGTACTACAACTAACAGTCTTAAAAAACTCATAGCTCAGCCAAAAATGCATTAATTTCGATTCGGAAAGCTGTTCTGTGCTAGTTTTTAATAAATTAATAAGTCTGCATACCTAGATTTAAATTATAAAATATTTTTAATTTTGCCAATTTTTCAATATCTGAAAAGTGCTTTTTTAGCAATAAAAAGTTGAAAAAAATTTCAAAATATTATTTTCTTTCCTACATGCCTAAAAAGATTCCCCTGTTCATTCTGATCAAGAATATATATGATTTATAGGGTCGGAAATGACTTCTTCACTGCGTTTTAAGCTTCTGACTGAAATTATTATACCCTGTAAAGGTATAAATATTTAATATGATATGATATGATTTTTCTTTAACCCAAAGCTTCAAAAACCCATTACTTCACCAAAAATTCATTAATTTTGATTCGGAAATCTGTTCTGTGCTGGTTTTTGATAGGGTAATAAATCTGCAATCCTAAATTAAAATTTTAAAATATTTAAATTTTTGTAAATTTTTCAATATGTTAAAGATAGAAAAACAGCTTTTAAAATTTAGAAAACAATTTCCTAAATTTTTTTTCTTTTCTGCATGCCTAGAAAAATTCCCTTGTTCATGCTGATCAAGAATATATATGATTTATAGGGTCGGAAATGACTCCTTCACTGCGTTTTAAGCTTCTGACTCAGTTGTAATACCCTACAATATATATATTTCCAGAAAATCTTTGGATAACTTTAATTTTAATAACCCTCTTGCAAAGCAATGCGCTGTGCATATGCTTTTACATAAATATAAATATATAAAAAAATTAATATGAATTAAACTAAATATTATATAAAAACTGATTAAAATCAGAGTTAAAGAAAATGTAGAAACATTATGTTTGTAAAACATTTCAACATTGATTTTTAAATCATTTTGGTACCAATTTTTTTTTCTATTTCAAATAATTAACCATTATTTCCCACACTTGATACAAAACTCAACGGAAAACGGGCAAAAAATCAGTGTCCAACTTCCAGTAAGGGTCTTAAAATCGATTTGCTTTCACCGGTGGAGGTATGTATGTCATCATGCGGTGCTTGCACTTAACCTGCAACCTTCTAGGGCTTCCGACCCAGAATTCGAATTCACTATTTCTATTCTAATTCTCAAATTTCCAAACAAGACTCACGGTCTTTGTTTCAGTTTTGTACATTTCATCAGCGAGTCGAGACCGAAGGAAGCCAAGACTATGAAGTTCCTCAATTCTGGAATAATCCTGTGCTATTGCTCCTGTTCCCTCCTAAGCGTAGTCAGTGGTCTGAGTTTCACGGTTACTTCCCGGATCTACATGGATGTGAAGCACAACAAGCAGCCGTTGGGCAGAATTACCTTTGGACTATTTGGCAAACTGGCACCGAAGGCAGTGGCCAATTTCCGGCACATCTGTCTTCGAGGGATCAATGGAACCAGCTATGTGGGAGCCAGGTTTCATCGTGTGGTAGATAGATTCCTGGTGCAAGGAGGGGACATCCTCAATGGCGATGGCACTGGCTCGGTTAGTATCTATGGAGAATACTTTCCGGATGAGGACAAAGCCCTAGCCGTGGAGCACAACAGACCGGGCTATCTGGGAATGGCCAATCGTGGACCGGATACGAATGGTTGTCAGTTTTATATAACCACTGTGGGTGCCAAGTGGCTGGACGGAAAGCATACGGTCTTTGGAAAGGTCCTCGAGGGAATGGACACCATCTATGCCATAGAGGATGTGAGTATATGCAGTAAATCCATTAATATATAGTATATTAATTAAACAATTCCCCTCTTTAAGGTCAAAACGGACACCGATGACTTCCCCTTGGAGCCGGTGGTCATCTCCAATTGCGGTGAAATACCCACCGAACAGTTTGAATTCTATCCGGATGACTTTAACATTCTGGGTTGGATTAAGGCAGCCGGTTTGCCCGTGACCAGTTCGTTCTTGGTCCTGCTCATATTTCACTACTTTTTCCGTCAGCTGAACATGTACTGCTGAGGAAGCTTTATTACTAATTACTACTACTACTTAAGATCACAAAGCCACACAATAAACCAGCTCGAAAAAACAATTTAAAAAAGACTTCCTTTAGGATGCAACGAGTCCTCTCAGCAGGATGGGCAGCGTTGGACCCATGTGCAGCTGTGGATATTACGAGTTTACAACGATTTCCCATTAGAACACCAAACTCACATCGATGAATATGTAATCCTCCACCAGTTGATTCTTCTCATAGAACTTGGACTCGGGCTTAAAGAAACCAACGATGGACAAATCCACTCCCGAGTAGTTGGACATGGAGCCGGAGAAGATCTTGGCCAGGGTGAAGTGATGCTTGTGGTCTGGATAAACGGAGGGATTCAAACTGTTGTAGTATTCCTCGATCAGGCGACGATCCTTGGGCGTCAGATCCCGCTTGTGCTTCACCATTTTGTCCAGATCGAAGGAGTGGGCATGCTTCAGTTTGGGATCCTGCTCCGCATCCATTAGGCGCTCGAACATATTCCTGTATTTGTCCTTGAAGTACTCCAGGGACTTGCACTTTTCAGACCAAAAGGAGAACTTTTTATGGGCACTGCGATGAGTTAGCTGGAGATTAATCTATACTTCGTCTTAAATATGCTATTCCTTGATGTATAATTATTTAATATTAAGTGTATAAACTAAATAATTATGTAAAAATACTTAAGGCCATCCTTTTTCTGTCTTTTGATTTGATTAAATTCTTTTAAATTGTATTAAGTTTGTAGCTTATTAAGTTTGTAGCTGAGGTTTTGAAGTTAAAATAAAATACAAATAAATTTACTTATATATAAAAACTTAAGGAAACTAAATAGAAATCTATAAAAATATAAAAAAAAAAATTAATATAATATAAACAAATGTATAAATATATATCTATATACATATTTACATAAAAACTTTAAAATATGAAAATATACAAACAATATTATAATATAAATAATATATCAACTCTTTTAAAAATTACTATAAATACATATTAGAGCGTATTTAAGCTGTCATAATTAATTTACTAATAATTAATTAATCATTACTTTTATCGCCTATAAAATATAGCATAAGTAATTTTGCTTAAATAATTATAAACTTATACCTTGTAACAATCCAAGAAATATAATTATTTAAAGATGAAACCCAGTTTAAAAATCAAGCTTATAAAAAACAATTAACAAACTAGCAACCTAATGACTTATATCTAATACTTTCTCATTTTTTACTTACTGTTCACTTAAGGCTGGCACCTTAAAGTCCACAAATAGACCCGGAATCCTAACCGTCGTCCTTGCGGCAGCGATGAGTTTTCCAGGACCAAAAAAGTGGAGCTTGAGCTCGAAGCGGCGCACCGAGTTCCGAGCCAGGGCTCCCAGTTCCAAGATGAAGCCATGCTGCTCGCAGGGAATGGGCTGGACGGTGAAGTGCTTGACCAGCGACGGCTGCTTGTAGCCGGGGGACTTGTGCAGCTTCAGGTGACTCTGGTACACCTGCTGGTGGAGGGCATAAAGCTCTGGCCTCGTCCTTAGGCGCTGCAGATATCGCTCGGCCAGGAGCAGCTGTCGCAGGACCGTGGCATGGGGCAGCTCCTGGTTATTGTTCACAATCACATATGTTTGCACCATGCGGAAGAGCTGCAGATCGTGCCGCGCCTGCCGCTCCGATGGCATGTTCTCCTCACTGAACGACAGCTGGCTAAAGTCCTCGGAGATGGGTGTGGGCATATCCTCCAGCTGCCAGCCCTCCTCCTCACCCATCTGAGCAGGCACAAGCTCCTCCTCCACCTCGGTAATGCTGCGGAAGATCTCGTAGTGGTAGATGCGCTGCAGCAGGCGGTACTCCTCCTCCAGCTCAGCGGGATCCATTGGAACAGTGGGAAGTGGTGAGGTCATGTCCAGCATGGGCATCACACCCTGTCCCCGCAAACAGAACTCGCTGGAGTCACTGTTATTAATCATGGCCCCAAATGTGTGCCGGAAGCTCTCGCTGAAGCCCAAGATCCCTTTTACCCGGATCTGATCCGTGGCCAGGGGTTCTAGGTGCATCAAATCGCTGGTCATTAACTTGCAGTAACCCTCAACCAGACGCTTCTCCGGAAGCGACGGCAACTGCTGAAGATACTTTTCTGGCCTGGGCTTAATTTCCACAAGGACCAGCTTAAGGGGATAGTTGGTTACATTGGCAACACGCACCACAGTCTCAAAGGACTCGTACCAGGGCTGAGAGGGATGAGGATATCAAGGGGTTTCATCACTTAATTTCTTACTAAATTATATCTAACTTATGTCTAAATAAGCGTTCACTTGCTATTCATCTAACTTGTTCTCTTCCCACCTCCTAACTCACCTTAATTCCCATGTACACACTGTCCTTGTGAAACCTAATCTTCTGCGGAAGATTGACCAGCGTGACGGTCAGGAACTGACTTCGTCCACCCACAATGGCCAGCTCAAAGAAGGCTTGCATCTCGATATTTCGACGGATGTGGGGCAGGTGGAGTTTACATTGCAGATCGCCGGGCTGAATGTCCACAACCTCAACGGTGCCCCGCTTCTCAAGGAAGTAGATGTAGCGACTGGAAAAGCAATACTCTGTGGAAGGTTCCGACCACTCTTCACTCGAATCGAAGTGAAGTCTGGCGAGGATGTCATCCAATGTTTCCCGCACCAAACTTGTGGTGCTCTGGTCTCTGTCCAAGTCGCGATCGATCTGCTCAGCCTTTGGCTCATAGAGCAACGGGCGATGGCTTAGGTCCAGCTCGTTGATGACCTCATCTATGATTTCCAGAATCATATCGCCATCCTCCAGGAAGCGCTTGAATTGACATCGGCACTCCTGGTACCTCTTCGTCATATTGGGCTCGTCGGCACAGCTGAAATTGTACTCAAGCATGCGCAGAATCTCCGACAGGATGTCGCTGGCAATACCAGCTGGATCATCCTCACGGCCAATATATACCTCCCTGGTGGCCAGACGCTTCCACTTGAACTCGGCCGGAGCACATCCTTGGTTAAGTAGATTTATCGTACTCTCGTAGGGCTTGCCGCGATCGAAAAGGACCAGATCCGGCTGAAGGATTACGACTTCCGGCACCTTAATGGTTAAACGCAGAGGCAGACCCTTAAGTTCTAAGCCTCGTGTCATTACGCTAATTTTACCCTCAATGTGGCGACAGGAGAGATTCTTTGTAGCTGCCCTGTTCAAGATCACAAAGATTTCCTTTCGCTCGCCACCAACCACACGAATTACCAGTTCCTTTTCGTAGGTGTCCTCGTAGAACTCTTTAATCCTAAAGGGACCCGACACCTGTAGCCTTACCGAGTCAAGGGGCATGGTACAGGGATTGAAAAGAATTGGAATTTCCTCATACGAACGCTCCTTTAGAGGTTCGCAGCGTTTGTAGTTGAAATTTAACTAAAACGGGGAATATTTTTAACTTTAAATAAACCTTTAAATAAATAGTTAAAGCAACTAACTTGCTTGGGACTCCAGAGCAGCTGACACTCTACAAAATCGGCCTGAACACTGACTCTTATGATGTGCTTACTCGTGGGATACTTTTGATCGACAACCTGCACCAAAAAGTCCCCGGTGGCATGACCCTCCACATAGGAGCTAGCCATAATGTTCAACTGGCACTCACTGTTGGGATCCAAGTACATGCTCTTTGGTTCCATATCGAAGCGTGCAGTCAAGCCGTGAGTGGTGCAGGGTCCGCCATCACGCTCGTTTCCAGGGCCAATGGAATTCAGCCGAATGATTAGGATGCGATAGGTGCGATGTCCCTTATTGATCACTCTCACGGGAAAGCGATGCGAGAAGATGCCATCCTGGAACTGCTCCCTGGTGTCCGTGTACAGCATACCGGCATCGAATCCCTCACGTATGTTGGGCTCAAAGTACAGTGGCACTCCCTCCACTCGGAATATAATGGGCACCATGATCACATTATCGAATTGCAGATCAATAAACAAGGTATTCTGGTAGATATCCGGATCGGTGAACATCGACACCAAAGTGGTGTACATGCTCTGGCCGCTGGGGGACAAGGCTCCGCCTCTTGATGTCAGATATTGGTACTCGGAATCTTTCTAACAGCGAGAGTAATTATGTGAAAACTCTGGGAACTCTATAGATCTCCCTTAATCCTTACCAATCTTATGCTCAGCATGGTATGTGTGGGCGTGAAATTGTCTATGTAAAAGTGCTGCTGGTGCTCTTCGAAGACCTGCAGCCGCTTGTTGATGGACATTGGCGTGATCCGGATCTCTGTGGGCAACACGTTGGCCACCAAATGGAAGGAAAACGGTCGATTGGCGCCCACAACCTTAATCAGACCCATCAGTCGGGTGCTGCCCAGCGATCGAAAGGTCACAGCACATTTGGCAAAGATTGAGGCTCCAGAATCAATGTAGAATTTCCAAATACCATCACGGAAAGACATATCATTGGGCTGTAACCGTATGGCTTAAGTATATGTCAAGGACAATATTAATAGCAAGATGCATAAGGCATTTTAAGAGAGCGTTACGCATCTTTTTGTATGTTAGAGTTCTAAACACATCTAACTAGGATTACTCACAACCACTTCGTAGTGAATAAAGGCACCAATTATGGAGCGATTCTTAAACTCCATATCAAACTCATACTCCTCCCCAGCATAGATGGTACGATCCATGAGATCTACTATTTGGTACCACTCAATATCCGGAACAACACAATTATACTCGAACCAAAGCTTGGAGCACAGGAACTCCGACTTGATAAGGGTCCTCATGGCCGGTAGATCATCGCTCGAGTCCGTGTTAGAGGACGGAAGAGCGGGACATATCCTTACCGACAGGGATCGATGGTAATAGCCGGGCCTATTGGGTACCACAAGGATCGTAATGGTGCGTCCGGTGTTCGGACGAAGGTAAATGATTTCGTTGTCGCAATAAACCTCACGCGGATCACTGGGCAAAGCGTTCCAGTCCATAAACACAAAGTTGCTGTGCTTGGTAAAGACGGAGAAGTATTTGGTGTGGAGCAGACCCAACAATGCCTCCTGAATAATCCGGCGATCCGACTCGGACTTGTCAAAGATCTTTTTCTTCTTTAGACTGGTCAAAAGTTGAGCGGCCATGACGGGTATGGGTTCTGAGGAGGGAAGTATTCCTTTCCTTCAAATTTCCCAGTTCCCAGTTCACATTGTAGTAACTCACCCAACACTTCCTCCTCAAACTCCTGGCTGTATACGGATAGATTTGACTCGACAGACTTCATTGACATAGCCTCCGGTTCCTCTTCCGTTAGCTGAACCGTTCCGAGTGTTACAGGCTGAACCAACTCCTCGTGAACTTGCTGCAAATGCTTTATGGGATCGCGCACCGTGATGGGCAGCAACTCGGTGGAGTCACGTATATTGAGGACCAGCGGTGTCTCGGCCCCATCCTCAGAGGGTTTAATTTGCAGAGTTATCGGCACGGCAAGGGGATTCAACAGGAGCATGTAACGCTTTTGGGGAACAGCAATGGGAATGCTTCCAAACTCCACCAGACCGGGGAAGGTTCGCAGCTGCACTGGCTGTCCCGTGCCTCTAAGGAGGGAGTTCCGTATGTTGGAAAAGCTGAGACCATATCACGATTCCTACCTTATTTCCACTTCATAGCGGGAACCATTCCCCACCTTAAAGCGCAGCATTAGCGAGAAGCGAGATGGTTCCAGATAGTAAAAGGACAGGCTAAAGACGCCACGGGTGCAGGGTTCCAGAAGGAAACCCTCAACGGGCGTTATGCGAATCCCTGCCACCTCTGGCTTTGAACAGTCCACATAATTCACTCTAGCGGAAACGGCTGTGAGAGGATACTTTAGTTACCCCACAAATACATATAATATTATATTCTCCAAATCTCTCACAGTCAACGTTGAGGAACTTGATCTGGGCACAGTGCTCCTCGCCCAAATAGATCTTCCGGAAGTCAATCACCTTTGGATGAACCTCCAGTTCGATGCCACCAATCTGACCCGTGAGCACTGCAATGTACGACTCGATGCAGTCCTGGTCGTTGGCAAAGCAAAAGGTTGCTCGCGTTCTTTGCATGTACGGCGGCTCCAAATCTTCGGGAAAGAGGCGATGGACTTCGTAGACGGGTCGGAAGCACACCTTAATTTCGGCGGAGGAATTGCCAACGATGCGATTTGGTAGAATAAACTCAAAGTGATGGCTTGCCTTGGGATCGTAGGTCACTTCCTGAACAGTAGCTTCGTCCTCAAAGTCGTAGATGAGGACACTGCGCATACTGACCGCTTCACTAATCAGTTTCTCTGAAATGTCATCATCCTGGCTCGAATCCTGGCTTTTGCTCTGAGCATCGGGGTTGGGGTCCTTATAGAGCTGCCCAGTAACGATCACTTCTTCCAAGCCCTCGTTGCACACCGTCACTGAACGCCACACCTCGCGTCCAAACTTGGTCACGGGAAAGGCAAGAAGACCAAGGCTCAAATGCACGGACATGGACTTGGGTGTAAAGGTAAACAAGACCGGCTTAGGGGGCACTGCGAAGGAACTGGGATTACCAAGGACATTAGAGATTATCTAGCCCAGACCTACTCATTCCAAACTTCAAGTTGAAGAAGCCATTGTACACTTGCAGCTTCCTCGGCTGAATGGCCAGCAGAACCCTGAGATAGTCCTGTGGCGGCACCAGTTCCTTGTTACCCGTGCTGATCTCTAACCCGCGATTGGTGCTGCAAAAAGGAATGAATCCTTCAGAACTCCAGGACTATTCCACCCTACTCACTTGCTGTAGCGAAGGCGCACACTATCCTTGGTGGGATTGTAGGCGATCAATTCGAAATAGGTCTTGTTACCGGGCACACAGCTGGGAAACACTACCGATTCACTGGCCGTTGGAATTTTATCCTTGGCCAGTACTGCGGAGGAGGAGAACTGTTAGCTCTTTTGACCGTTTAAATCCTTCACTTCGATTACCAATAATGGGCACTTGAAAGATGATGTTCGGATGAAAGCACTCCACAATGATATGGCGGCGCCTGTTGATCTCCCGCTTGGTAGAGGAACGTATCCAGATTTTCGCCTCCATGTTCTGATCGGTTTCCAGATAGTGATTCAGGTCTATTTCGGGTATTGAAATAAAAGTGTCCGTCGGACTGTCGGTGCTCAGTTGCACCATGCGAGGGTACTGGAGGATAGCATTTGAAGGGGTTGAACAGGGATCAATCATCGAGTTTTGATCTTACCAATCCACTGTTTCGAATATTTAGCGTCATGCCATAGGTATAGTTAATCTTGAGACGCTTTTTTTGAATAATGACACGTGGCGTTATGTGCAGCGATTCCACCAAGTTGGCATATTCACTGTAGTCTATCGGGGAAACAGGAAATTATAATGGAAGGAGTCGCGAGAAGTATCTTAGAGAAACCTACATTCCTTGGCTATGCAACATTGAAAGTTGCGCTGGATGCTGGTCAAACGAAGTATGTGTTGGTTGGGTATATAGGTGTTGCGGGGTGTTGGGGGCGTTGGGTCCATAATTTTTCTTGTATTTTTCGTGATTATGGTGCTTTACAAACAAATCAAAAATTATATAATATATATATGGGAATTTGAATTCAAAATCAAAGCTCACCACGATGGTAAAGTGGGTGTGCTTTTTCGAAAAGGTGGCACAGTACTTTTCACCACTGTTGCCTTGCTACCTTTAAAGAAATATGGCAACACTGGTTGAACTGCTTCTAAAAACTGCTTACAAAGCAGTTTAATAACGGTATTGTTATTTTAAAAAAGGAAGCAGTTCAAGGATATGACTTTTATATTCCTGAATTAAATGGAATTGTTATTTAAAGGGGAAAAAGTTAGGGCAAAAATAAGGCAAATATATATAATTTCCTTATATTTGAATCTTTAAATTTGTGTGTGTGGTCCCATGCTTTATTTGTCCTCTGGTTCGTTGCTTCTATTGCTTCCGTTGTTTAGGCAAAACAATTTCAATTTGGCAGAAAAACCCCAACGCAGCATGTCCTCCTAACGAAATGTCGAACGTGAACGTGCATGGTGCCCCTTCTGCTTTCAGATTTGAGGTCAAGCCCAGTTTCGTCCCCAAAACCCTTGTACACTGTGAGCAAATACAAATATTTTCTAATTTTTAGTTAAACAACTTAAGTTAGACAAATCCGTCAAATACTTTATATGGAAATATAAACATGTACATTTGTTTTTTAAACACTACTATTGTAAATATGGAATATGAAATTGAATATTAAAATAATATTTGCCGCGAAATTTCAGGTATTTCGGTTTCTTTTTACTCACACAAATATTATGTGATTAAGAAATTAGTAAATGATATATAAATTTTCATTTAATTTGTGAAAAATCAGATATATTCAAGTATTTTTTTCTCTCTCTGCAATAGCCCAAAAGCCATTTCAACCGCAGAGCTGCCAATGCACAACAAAGTCCGGCTGCTTTCCTTATTTATTTGTCGGTCGAATCCTTTCTCTTCCCTTCAGTCCCTCTATATTCTCCTGCAATTCTGCACTTGGCAATAAGGACGTTTCTTTCTGCTCCTCCTTTTTTCCTCTTCTTTTTTTTGCAAAATTAATGATATGGGACCGTAGCATCGGCTGAAAGCTGGGCATTTTGTGCGGTTACTGGTTCCTCCTCGTTCCTATTCCGATTCCCATTTTTATTGTCAACGAAACTTGAGATAAAAATTCGGAAAGTGCCAGAGCCGGCCGGGAAAAGCAACCGCAAAACCCCGTGCAAGGAAAATTGAAAGAAGGCGGCTGTGGCTGTGGCTGCGGCCAGTGTCCAAGGAATTTGCATGTGTCCTGCATCCACTTTGCCATTGTTTGTCCGTGGGCGTGGCTCAGGACCTGCCTCCGTCTGTTATCGCCGGCAAAGCGCTTATAAATCACGGTCCTTCACATGCAAGGACTTGTGTGGAGGAAAACTCGGACGGAGATGGAGACGGACTTGGACTTAAACATAGATAACACACGACCACATGGCACGGTTGGCTGGTGGCCGAAAATTGCAGCATCCTTCAATGGAGTGGCAGAGACATGTTACATTTTGATGGAAAGCAATTGGCAGGACTCTCTCTCATCATGGTCGAGTGGCGCTTTTATTGAGTACAAATTGGCTGCCATAATGATGACAAAGAATCGCTGGACTAGCCTCCTTTTCAAACTGCTCTCTCTCGCTCCATCTCTTTTGTCAGCCATTCCCGCAGATGACATTTTTATGACATCCAATCCGAGGTCCTGCGACTGATTGCTCCTGTGCCGCCCTCTCCCTCTAGCATTGACCGAAGGGTGAAAGGGTGAAAGGGTTTTTATTTGGCCGGCTTATGTGCTCCTTACGACTGCAAAGTGGCAATTCTTTAACAATTTATGTTGCCAAACCAAAGTCGAGTGTGTGCTGCTGCTGCTGCTTCTGGCCAAGGGCTGCAACAGCTGACGCACCACCCCCGATCCTGTCCTCGTCCTCGTCCTCGTCGCTTTTTATTTTGTTTGGTCCGTCGGCGGCTGTGAAATTTTCGTGAATTTATGAGCACTTGAGAGCAGGCGCCATCGCCAAAGGCACAGCCCTGCCTGGCCCAACCCTACACCCAATCCTGGCCAGGACCTCCCTCCTTTCCTCTGGCATCCCCATTTTTCGCCCAGCGACTTTGTTGGCCTAATATAAATTTCAACTTGAACAACAACGGTCTGCACTTGAAATAAAATAAATATGATTTTAATTTAAAAGAAGGCTAGAATATGATTTAAAGAAACTCAGTTAACCTTTCAGGGAAATCTAAGCTAGTTTAAAAATCCTTGGGGTTTTGCAAATCCAGAGAAATGTGTCTACAAAATGCCAAACAATTTTTAAGTTACTAAATAGTGTTATACAAATCAATTTCTTATTATAAATATCATTATTTTATACAGCTTTTTAAGAATTCTAGAGATCTCTGTACCATTCCCGAATTTTTGAAACAAATAGGTATAACTTTAAACCAAAAGGATATTGTTTTAGGAAGATCAACCTGCAGGTCCAAAGAATATACAGAATATATATAAAGTTAACTTACTTTAGAAGTTTACTTACATTTAGAAACTGTTTGTTTACTTTTCACAATAAAGAAAAAACAAAGAATTCAGTTCAAACTTATTAAATTTATACCAAAACTTCCACCCTATATTATTTTAATAAATTCATTTAAAACATAAACTTATACTAAATCTTGCACCCTATATTATTTTAATAAATATTACTACAATTTGTTGAGTGTATTGAGGAGAAGGAACAGATGGAGGTGGAAGGTGGTTGGGGCAACATTTTAAATGTGCCACGCGGTATTTTTGGGTACTTTTTTTCTTTCACTCCTAAGTGGCAGCAAACGGGGCAATAAAACGGTCGCCGAATGTTATGAAAAGGATTGCGGCGATGGCCACCAAGTGCGAGAGCTCGTAAATCGTAGGCCAGAAAATGGGGGGCTGTTGCCAGGGTCAAGCCCTTATAAAAATTAGTTTACGTGGCACATAATTTTGCATTAATTCCGCCTTGGAATGACACTCGACGACAACGAGAGTGGCACTCGCATGTGGCCCAAGAGCTCCAGTTTCCAGCTTCGAGTTTCGAGAGCTGAATGCTGGCCAAAAAGCACTTTGCCACATTTTAAAGTATCTGTCACATAAAATGCTCGCTGGGGAGGGATGCCACAAGGGATGCGAAGGATACTGGCCAGAGCAAACAGCAAAATGCAACAAAATATTTTGTTATGCTGCAGCAGAAAAAACAACGAGGAAAAGAAAAACAAAAAACAGAAACAGAAACAAAAACAGGGAAACAAGGGGTTGGAAAAACAAATGCTTATAAAATGATAAGTTGCAGCTGGAGATGAGGACGTGAAGTCAAGTGAAATGCAGGAGAAGCAACAGCAGCAGCAGCAGCATCCTCATCCTCGGAAAGGACCTGCCATCGACGATGTGTTGCGGAAATATTTTGTGTGAAATTATTGCGGCCAGAAACACGGAGACATGGAGCGATGGAGCGTAGGAGAAAGAGGAGCAAGTGGAGCTGGAGGAGCAAGTGGTTGCTCTGTAAGAAAAATATTCTTCTACAAAAAAATGATAAGTGAGTCAAATTAAGAGTATTCCTGTTTAGGAGTCATTGAATGCGTTGAGAGTGTTTTTTTAGGAAAAAAAACCCTTTTACTGAAAAGTCTTTCAAAATATAAGTTCTTCATTTTTTACAAATGTAGTAAAATCTTATATATTTTTTCTATGAGAAATACTTTCTTCAAAAAAAGAGTAGCTCAGGAATATCAGAAAGTTACAAATTGTATTTGTTATTGAAATCTATGTAAAATAAAAACTTATCCTAATTAATATATAGAACTAATATATCCGAAAAGAGATACAAATTAAAGAACGTTTTACAAATACATATAATTATCGATTATTAAATATTGAAAGATGTTCCATTTAATGATAAAATATTGAGATCAGAGACAAAAATTAAAGATAATTTTGATGTTATTATGATATATGCTATATAATATATTTTAATAATATGTATTAATAGTATTAATAATTCCATAGAGAATAACACAGAACACCCGTGATTTTTGTTTTGTTTTCAATAAATACTATAAAACAATCACTTGCTCATAAGAGGTATTAGTTCCATATACAATTATATAACATATTTATAGGTATCACAACACTTCCCTTATATATTTTAGTATGTATGAAATCCCCAAAAGATTCCCCCTTTGACTTTCATATCCCCTTTAATATTTATTATATATTTTATATCTAACTTCCTACCGATAAACCTTTCAACTCCCAATTTATTGATGGAAATGACCCGTTTTGCCCACCGCTTTGCTCATTTACAAACCAATTTGCATCGCTTATCCGAGGCGGTGGCGTATGCGCAATATTTGTGACATGACCTCCACATGGACATGGACCATGGCCATCTAGTGGGAAACCGCAGGAGCAGCAGCAGGACCATCAGAGTCAGGAGCTAATTAGTGTGACAAATTGCTTAGTCAGGGCGGAGTCAGGGAATGACCACACTTCACAAACCCGTGGCGGTTAGCTGCTCCTGCTCCTGCTCCACTGTCAGGTCGATGATGTTGCCACATGTCGATGGCAGAATGAAAACTCATTAAAAATTTACAATTGATTGACTGCACAATGTTCAAAAGGGGGTGTGGGAAGGGAAGCATTTTCCCGAAAATAGTGACAGGCTCGTCATTCATGGCAAGTTGCTAAATGATGCACACAAACGCATCGAGTGTGGCATATGGCCGCTATGCCATAGTGTCCTGTCCCCTTCGATATTGCAGCAATTTATGCTAATGCTCGTTAGTGAAATCAAACAGCAGTCGAGCAGTAACCAGGCAGAGCAGAGCAACACAGCAACAGAGCAACAATTGTGTAAACAACACAGCGGCCGTAAAGCAAACTATGCTCATACGTGAAAGGATCACAGGACGAGGACGAAGAGGACGTGGACTGCAACTGCAACTCCAACTGCTACTGCATTCTGCATTCTGCATCTGTCGGTTGTGCACAAA